TTGTAACTCTGTATTGTCTGTATTGTGCTTGTGATATGTTGTAAAATGTTGTATGTCTGTTAATGTTTCCCTCCTTTTATCTTTAAAATAAAAAAAAATATTAAAACAGAAACAGTAAATCTATTGGAAGAGAAAGCAGGTAAAAGTCTTGAAGACAAAGGGGTAGGCAGAGAGTTCATGAACAAAAACCAAACTGCACAGGAAATACTTCAAAGAATCAACAACTGGGTTCTCATCTTACTGAAAAATTTCCACACATCTAAAGAAATCACCAGCAGAGGGGCTGGGGATTTAGCTAAGTGGCAAAAGCACCTGCCTGGCAAGCGCAAGGTCGTGAGTTTGGTTCCCAGTACTGGAGAAAAACCAAAAAAAAAAAAATAGAAATCACCAGCAGAGTAAAAAGAAAACCTACAAATTGGAAAAAAATTTTAGCTGACTGTCCCTCAGACAAAGGGCTTCTATCTAGAACATATAAAGAATTAAAACACATCAGCCCTGTCTTAGTTACTTTTCTCTCGTTGCTAGGGCAAAATACCTGACACCCAAAATTAAGGAAGGAAAGGTTTATTTCGCTAACAGTTTGTGGAGGTTTCAGTCCATACTTGGCCCGTTACAAGGCAGAGTGGCACATGGCAGAGGGCTACAGCTTATGGAAGCAGAACATAGCAAAAGCAACAAGCACACACAAGGGAGCAACAGCCGCAAGCAGCCTCTTCCTCTCCTTTACATATGCAAACTATCCACCCCAGGACGGGTATAGCACTCACACCCATAATCAATCAAACTCTAAAAGCCTGCCCCATGACTGCATGAGGCTTTGGGGGACACACAGACACAAACCATAACAAGCCCCCACCCACTTCAAAGACCCAATCCAAAAATAAGCAGCTGAGATGAACACACACTTCTCAGAGAAAGAAATACAAATGGCAAATAAATACATGAGGAAATGTTCAACATCATTAGTCATTTCAGACATGCAAATTAAAACAACACTGAGATTTCATCTCACCCCAGTAAGAATGGCTAGCATTAAGAAATCAACCAATAACAAATGCTGGCGAGGCTGTGGAGAATTAGGAACCCTTCTCCACTGCTGGAGGGAATGCAGACTGGTGAAGCCCCTGTGGAAATCAGTTTGGAGATTCCTCAGCAAACTAGGTGTAGAGGTCCTATTCAACCCAGGTATTCCCCTCTGGGTATTTTCCCAGAAGATCTAAAAACGTCATATCACCGCGATATATGTGCACCCATGTTCATAGCAGTGCAATTTGTAATTGCTAAATTGTGGAAGCAACCCAAATGTCCATACACTGAGGAATGGATAAAAAAATTGTGGTACTTTTATATAATGGGATATTACACAGCTATAAAGAAAGATAAACTCAAGGCTTTTATACGTAAATGGTCACAACTAGAGACTATACTCATAAGTGAAATAAATCAGATCTGCTTGTGTAAGTATCATATTATCTCACTAGTGTAAGACCTGGAAGAGTGAATTAAAAACTAGGAGGTATGATAGACATTGTGAAATGAAAGGAAAATCCTGAAAAGTAAAGGGCAACTCAGGTGTGGGAAAAGGGAAGGGAAAGAAGGGGAAATTATATATAAGTATGTATATACAGGATAGCTAACATAGTTGTATGACTGTCTTCTATTGCTCTACAGAAAGGAACAGTTAATGATTACATGTTTGATCAGTCTTGGATGTCTCTATTTGTTTTCCTGAGAAACCACTTTGAAGATATCAATAAGTAATACAACAACCATTGTTAATTTCCTACAACTTTGTCTGTAACTCTGTTTTGTTTGTATTGTTTTTATGCTATTTTGTAAGTGGATGTCTGTTTGTTAATGTTTTTCTTCTTTTATATTTTAAAATTTAAAAAAATGAAACTGGATGTTTGAGAAACATAATACAAATTAAATGCATTTTTTTTGAAAAAGGAGCTGAGTGTGGTGGTGTACACCTGGAATACCAGCACTGTGGAAATGTGAAGCAGGAGAATCACTAATTTGAGCCCACCTGGCCAATTTAGCAACTTATCAAGACCCTGTCTCAAAATAAAAAATAGAAAAGACTTGGAGATGTAGCTTAGCACAAGAACCCTGGGAAAAAGAAAACAGGCAAAATTAAAACATGCATTCTTTAGTCCAACTCTTTTGAAATATTTGTTACTTGGCATGCAGTATCACAAAAGACATCTAAGGCAAACCAAGTTCTTTTCTTTATGACAACTCCAAAGCTGGGTGTTAGCAAAGAGACTCCATTTTGTGTCTAGCTCTACTTTAAAACCCTTAAACTTTAGATGAACTCACTCTTGTTCGCCAAATCATGTGTTAAGCAGTTTTCACTTGTAAACAGCTTTCATTTTGATAAAATGCTGCTTCTGACAAATGCTGTAATGACCCCATGACTATGACTATCACCATGTGATTAGATAAGCTCTGTACTCCCCCTTTCTGGAAATACCCTGCTATTTTTAGAAACTGGACCAACTGCTATATAAACTGCTGTTTCCCTGTCCTTGGGGTCCATATGTCTGACTGGCAATAGTTGGGGTATCAGCCACACGCTAAATAAAACCCTGCTTTGTCCTGTTCTGGCCCCCATGAGTGATTTTCACTACTTGCTGTAACAGTTGGGTCTAGTGTAGTGTATTTGTAGGCACATCCCCAGCAGGAAGAAGCCAAAATATATTTTTTTAAGTTCTAAAGAAAATAACTTCACGAGTCTTTGATTTTTTAAAATGTGTGTGTATTGTCATGGTATATATTGAAGTCTTTGTGTTCTGAAATAATTTTTTGTTGTTTGTTATCAAAAATTGTATCATTTTTCTTTTTAAAAAAACATATCTTCCTTTTCCTTGTTCAAAAAAAAGTTGGTGGTAGTGTAAATAAATATGAAGAAAATGATCAATACTAAAAAATGTTGAGAGTGTTTCACTCCTCTAGGGACAAAGGACAGGAGAAAAATTTATGGTCAGAATCATGACCAAGGATATCTGCATCCCGCTTCTGCCCTCTGTCTTTGAATATCTTGCATGTAGCTTATAGCCCCTCCTATTGTATTTCTTCATCCTCCTTTCATTGAAGAGTAGTCACAGTTTGAAAACATGTCAACAAACCTGGACACTTGGCACACTATGGCAAAAACTTGTGTTTGGTTCCGGGAAGTGCTCAGCAAAGCTTGTTACATGGGATGGATGGATGAATAGATGGATTGGTGGATATACAAATAAAGAATGAGTGTGCCTAGTAGAAAATGCTTGGGTATTTAAATAGAAATCATATATTGTTTCCCAGTCAATCACATAGCTCCTTAGGTCCCCCTTGTTATTTTACTACTTCATATCAATACTTTTTCTTGTAATTCAAGTGACTTAGTGACTTAGATGAGAATTTACTGCAGGACTACAACTCCAAATTCTGGCATATATTAGTAGCATGTATCCACAGACAGTTGGTGATGATGGGTGTAATGCAAGTATGGATGTATGCCAACTGTGTTAGCAGTTGCTATTTACTTCTCTTTTCAACTCAAATTACAGTGTACCTTTGCCAAACTCTTTGCTTTACTAATAAAGGCACTTCTTCTTCATGTCACTATTGAGTCGTTCAAGGAGGGGATGAGACAAGGCTCAGATCTCCAAATATTAAAAAAGGCCTTCAGTAAGGCAAGGAATCCACTCATCATGGAAATTGGCCTTACATTCTACTAGGCTGTGAATCTACTAAACTTCCTCACCTTGTGCTTGGCAAATTTCATCTGGGAGTTGCTTAAGTAAATTGTGCCGGCAATCAAGAACCTCCAATTTAGGCATGGACCCCAAAGATACAGGCAGGTACTCCAGACAGTTATTCTCTATATATAGCTCTTTAAGACTCTGAAATAACATAACAGTATACCATAATGATCCATATCTTGATAAATGAATTATAATAACTAAAGTCAATGGGCAAATCATGCATGGAGATAGAAGGGAAAACATTTGAAAGACCCAAACCAAGGAATAAAATTACTTTTAATGAAGCCATTACTAGAATATTAGTACATAGTTACTGCATAGTAACTTTGTTCTATTAGAACTTTATGAAAAATAATTTGGACTACTTAAGTACATTTACCATTTGCTTCCTTTTAACTTTTGCTGGTTACCTGTGGCAGTTGCTACAGAACTATAATGGTTTCAACGATTACGCCAACATCATATGTAACCCAACATCATAACTAAGCAGAAGTAGCCAAAATACAGACAATACTTAAAATTTATGTAATTGAGCATTTCACCCTAGGATTGTGGTATGACATGTACAAGAAGCAAGAGAATGAAAAGCATGCTGTGGACATAGAGGCAAAGGATAGAAAATTAGGAATAAGATCTCTATGTCATGTTGAGAGTTGCCTATGTTGTACATGCCATTGCTTGGTTCTATAACTGGGAATTGTATAGTAGTCCACATTTATTTTATCATTATCAAGAGTACCATAACAGGAACATGAAAAAATTAACAGTTCTCTAAATGATACATATACAGCTGATACACATTAGTAAGACTTTGCTGAATGAAGTTACTTTGTTGCTTTGCTACAGTTCAGCACAGTACTACAGATTCATCATCAGCATGAGCCTGGTGCAACATGATGTACACACCCCTAAGCAGGGAGGGAGGTCATGTTGCCCATTATAGCGAATCGTGGGCCCAGAATGCAGGCTCCCAACAATGTCATCCATATAATACTTTAATTTCAAAATAGTACAGTTTTCCCAGGGCTACTTATGAAAAATGGAAACTAACTGGTAAGAGGTGTGACTCAGTTTCTACAAAGAAAACATGTCAAAAACACACAGTGGAAAAAAGTATGGCATGACATATTCAATGGCAATCGTCACTGGGTGGGTGGCTACTCAGCAGAATGAGCAGAAGGATCAAGAGTTTAAACCCAGCCTAGGCAATTTAATAAGACCCTATCTCAAAATAAAGAATAAAAAAAGGATTGGGGATTTATTTTAAAAGGAAAAAAAAGGCTATGGATATAACTCAACACTAGAGCACTTGCCTAGCATGTAAAAGCTCCTGGGTTCAGGCCAGGCCGTTGGTATATGCCTATAATCCCAGCACTCAGGAGGCTGAGGCAGGAGGATTGCTGTGAGTTCAAGGCCAACCTGGGCTACATAGTGAGATCAAGCCCAGCCTGAACTGCAAAGGAAGATGCTGTCTCAAAACTAGAAACAAACAAACAAATAAAAACAAAAAACAAAGTCCTGGGTTCAGCTGTCAGTACCACAAACAAACAAACCCATAGCAATCATAATAAAGTTTTGTGAAGATGTTCAGTGATCGTTGAAGCTTCAAAATGTAAAAATGACTCCTTGTTTGTAACTGAAACCCTAGTATGCATGACTGCACACCCAGCCTGTGGGGACACAACATGCTGTCTCAGTGTCAGACAATTTAAGGGGTCAGGGGCATATGCCTCAAGGGGGGAGGCTTACCTGCAGTTTCCCAATCTCTTCTGGAACACAGGCAAGCTTGGATCCCTGGTCTTGCCCAATGTGTAATTTCTCCAGAGATGCTAAAGAAAATATTTCCTCTGGGAAAGAAAGAAACTCATTTCCTGTTAGTCCAAGTATCTTCAGTTTTGAAAGCGAGCCCAACTCTGAAGGTAACTAGAAGTATTCCAAAAGATAAGTTTCAGGTTGATTGTTTTAACAGTCAGAAAATAAATTGGATTTTTGGTTTAGAAGATGTCTAAACACAAGGAGAGCAATTAGTTTCTCCTACTGACAAAAACTTTGCACATAAGTGAGCATATATGGACTGGTTCCACTTTTTCCTTGCCGCTTCTCTTTTTACTTTTATGGACTACTTTATTTTATTTTAGGTACCAAGAATCAAACTCAGAGCCTGGTGCTTGCCAGTCAGGTGCTGTGCCTCTGAGCTACATCCCCAGCTGTGCACTATTTTGGATTGGAGCAATTTTAACTTCCTTTGTTATGACCTATCATCTAGCAAATGCATGACACTATTGAAAAAGTACCCATGTTACATTATACAGCAATAATAATAGTCATAATAAATCAGATCCACCTTTCATCCGAAAGGGCTTTCACTCAGCAAGTTTGAAACTTCAGTAGAAATCTTAGTTGGAAGTAAACATATGTTCAGGTCCTAATCGGAGCATTTAGGAAAACAGTTATGACTCTGTCTTGTCATGCCCTGCCTTCCAGTGAATCCCCAGGCTTGAATGCCGTATGTGGATTCTGGGCTGGCATTTCACAGACTGCCAGACTAAGGGGTTGGGTGGTCTTCAGAAAGTTCTCTATCCCAACTCTCTACTACAATTGTTCAGCATGTTCTGTACAAGCCGTCTGACTTTTTATTGCTCACCATCTCCTGGAAGGAAAAGCCTATTACCTGTCTTGAATCCCTTTAATCATGAGATTTCCTTCTTTTGTCAAGTCATAATCTGTCACCATGATGTCTACCTATTGGTCTCTTTCTAGCCCTCTGGAATCACATAGGGGAAAAAAATGTCATTCTTCATGTATACAACATAATCACCCTGTCAGCTGGGTAACAGAAGTGCCTCATTTTTCTTGATGGAAAGAAAAAGCATACCTATATATTTCAACAGCTTAACTCATGCATTTCTTTATTTTTAACCAGGAAATCCCTTTTCATAGTTTTCTGCTGTAGCCCTTGGGTATTCCCCACATCCATTCCCTAACCCTCCAATTTACTTTCCATTCTGGTTAGACCTCTGCTCATCTCAGTCACCCCTCCTTACATCTCTCTATACCTGGATCAAAGACACAAATCATTGGATCATTGGTCATTTGGAGTTGCAGACAAAAAGCAAGCTCATCATATGAATATTATATCAATGTGTTAACCCTCCCAAGTGTACTTTGTATGTATCAGTAAAAGTTTCATATATCTGGAATTTTCTCTGTTTTTGTGTAAGGTGAGGGTTTGTTTTCCTGAGAATGTTATAGGGTGCTTTCAGTTTTAATTGTTGATACAAAATCACATCAAGTGAACTCCAGAGAACATTATGCTTAAGCTCTTCAACTTGAATTTCAAATAATTCAAGACGAATTTCAAAATTCTTTTTTTCTTCTTTCTTGAGGCAGGGTCTCACTATGCAGTGCAGGCTGGCCCTAGACTCACTATATAGATCCCAGGCTGGCCTTGAATGCACAGTGATCTTCTGGTCCTCAGCCTCCCAAGTGCTAGGATTACAGGTGTGAGCCACTGCACACATTGTCAAAATTCTTTATCTGACACTTAGATCCCATGACTACTGTATAAAACATCTGCATTCAATGCATACCAAAACTATGGGAAAAGATTTTTCAATATAGTTACTTTGTTACTGCTGTTTACTTAATTTGTAGATTTTGCTTTTCTTTCTTCAAAACATATTTGAATGTCCAAAGATTTTTTTCAGGATATTCAAGAGCCAATATTTAGTTTCATTATAGTCATATTAAAGTATTGTAGAAATACATCTAGACATATAGAGACTCTGCAGAGCATCAATTAAGGACAATTATTGCTACCTCTATAAACTGAGCTTGTTATGGCTTATATCTTGATGTCCCCCACCAAGCTTCATGTACTCGTAGGTGAGGCTTTGGGGAGGTGATTGGACCATGAAGGTGAGATACACATGAGTGGATTAACCCACCAATGGGTTTATAGCTAAAGGTGAGGTTGGGAGGTGAAGCCTGGTTGGAGGAAGTGGGTCACTGGGGGTGTGGCCTGGAAGGCTCTGTCTCCCTCTCTCTTCCCTTGATTTCTCTCTCTGCTTCCTGCTGCCTAGCCATGAAGGTAGTTTTCCTCTGCCATGCCCCTCTGCCATGCTACCCTTCCTTGGAGTTAGTTGACTGTGGATTGAAATCTCTACAAAGTGTGAGCCAAAATAAACCTTTTCTCCTTTACATTGTGGATGTTGGATATTGTGTCTCAGCAATTAGAAAATAACTAAGGCAGATGTATAGCAATTTTGAGGTTGAATACACTCCTTTGGTTTTTCTCCTTTAATAGAAATGTACTATACAAATAAGATCTGTCTCAGTACACATTGGAAGTCAGCTAGTTTTGCATCCACCTAGGCAAAGAGAAGTTATGAGCGAGATTTCAAGAGCCAGAAATCCATCAGTTGTGTCTTTGCGGGAGGAGAGATAAGGAGTTGGTTTAAGGACCATTGTTAGTAGGAGAGAAATGCCCTTGGGTTACAGGAGGTATTAGCCTAAGGGGAAATTGAGAAGGGAGGGCAAAAACCCATATACACAAAACCATTGGAATAACTCAGGAATAAAAACCATGGTACATACAGATTATTATGTTCATTATAAAAACATTTAACATGTTTTCAACTTCACTGTGGTTTGACTTCTGGTAAAAACTGGAATTGGATCTTAACAAAATTACTTTCAGGAAAGGATTAGGTATATAACTCATGATTTGACTACAGTTAGGTCAATGTGTTAACCCTCCCAAGTGTACTTTGTATTTTGAATCTTTCACTCAAACTATGGAATGAAAGGCTTTGTCCACTGAAGGCATTTCTTATAGCAGGTAGAGTGGTAGAAGAATGGGTTTTCATGAAACCTTGAAAATCTTCCAGAGCAGGTTACTACCTCCAGAGAAATTAAGTCCTAGTTCCTTTTCTAAATTTTCAAGTTATCATCAAAAATTTTATTTCCTGAAAGCTAGTTTTAAAGCTCCAAAGCATTTAGGAAGAAACAAAAACCTTATAGAAATTATAAATCAAATAAAACCTGTTTAAAATAAAAACCTTTACAGCACAGACTTGTATACTGCATAATAAAGATACAAGACTGGTATTCAAGGCCAGGAACTGTAACTGTTATCTGGTTACAGTTGTTGATTTCCAGATCTCCCTCTTCTCACTCTATAGTTGCCCTTTGCTTTGAATAGCAACGCTATTCTTTTAATTTTCTCTTCTTTTTTTTTGTTTTTGGTCTGTTTGAGACAGAGTCTCGCTATGCAGTTCATGCTGGTCTTGAGTTCACTTCGTAGCCCAGGCTGGCCTTGAACTCGCAATGATCCTCCTGCCTCAGCCTCTTGAGTGCTGGGATTACAGGGGTATGCCATCACGCCTGGTCTTAATCTTCAAATATTAAAAAATAATCAAGAAACAAGCTTTATGTGACTTAGGAGGTTGAGGTAAGAGGATCATAAGTTTGAGGAAAGCCTGGGCCTCACAGACCCTATTTCAAACACCATCCACTGGGTAAATGTTCTAATACACACATTATTACAATTAAAATTTAATTCCTCTATGATCCCCTCCCTATTTCCCCATTGTATTGACTTTCTTCTTCCCAGAGGCATTTATCCACTGTTAGGAATTTAGTGGATTTTCTTCCAATTTGTATTTTTACACTTTTATTAGATATAAATACCCATAAAATATATGATGTATATGTATTTACTTATACATGTTGTTTTGTATGATTTAAAAATGAATAAATGGTTTCATAAGATTCTTCAATTTGGTGTTTTTTCTTTTTTAAGAAACATCACAATTTGGAGATCTATCCACATTGGCACACAGCTCCAGCACACTTAAATTACTAAGGAGCAGTCCCTTTTATGCACATAGCATGATCTTTTTGCCCACTGACTTTGATTGTCTCCCACATTTCACGATTATCACCAACGCTGCAATGCCAGGTTGGACGTGTAAGCTGCACACAAGTGGACAGTGTCTCTAGGAACAAATCTGTTTCTGTAGTATCCCATGGATGGAACATGAAGGCCTAAGGCACATGTGTCAGGAAAACCTGCTATTAAGAAACCCTTGCCAGGAAGAATATCGACCTGGATGCCCAGCAGTTCTAGGTTAGAACCCTGACTTTGTCACTTACAGGCCACGTGGCCTGGGACAATTAGTTCAGCTCCCTGTCCACCATTATCATATCATTGAGGACAAAAACCAAAAAACATTGTGAGAGATAAATGAGATAATCCATACAGAAACTTAACTCAGTGACAGGCACATATATACTCTTAAAAACCTAAACATTAGTTACTATCTATGATTACTACTGCTATTTCAGAGGATAGGAAGAAATGTAAACTTTAAGTGTACACCTTGTGGTATACACTGAAAACCCTGGTTACTTGCCTATAAAGTCAGTTCAAATTCCTGTTTGTTTTGTGCTAGTGGAGATCAGACCCAGGGCATTCTACTACTGCATTACATCCCTGGCGCCCGTCCTTTTAAAAATGTTTGAGAACCTAGGGTTTCATTAAATCGTTCAGGTGGGACTTTAATTTGTGATCCTCCTGCCTCAGCTTCCCAGCGTGCTGGGATTCCAGGTGTGGCTTACTGTCCTGTTTAGAGAGAATTATACCAATCTTGAGCAGGAAAGACCCTTGGAATCCGAGCAGAGTGATAGCAGGGGTGCACGGCGCGGGGAGTACCTGCCCTATTTTATTATCATCCAGTGCCAGGGCTTCCAGGTTCTTCAGCGCACAGATCTGCGCGGGGAAGTGGTCCAGGTGGTTCTGGCTGAGATCCAGGAAGCGTAGGTGCAGCAGCCGCCGGAAGGAGCGCCGCAGCCTCCGCAGGCCCGTGTCGCGCAGGTAGAGCAGGTGCAGCTCGGGCCACCTGCACACGAGGCGCGGCACTTTCTCCAGGCGATTCCCACTCAGCCCGATTTCCGTCATGCCAGTGAGCTCGCCGACGGCGCACGGCACGGACTCGAGGAGATTGTAGGATAAATCGAGCACAGTCATTTTGCTACACTGGCATAGCGACCTGGGCAGAGAGGGCAGCTGGTTACGAGCCACGTAGAACTTTTGCAGCCTCGTCAGATCCCCAATTTCTTCCGGGAGGGCACTGAGATTGTTCTCATCCAGGTCAATGACCTCCAGATTGTAGAGAACACAGAGCTCCTGAGGGAAAACCTTGAATTGGTTTTGCTGCAGATAGATCTCCCTCAGTTTGAGCTGGTTCACAATTTCCTTGGGCAGACATTCCAGGCGGTTTCGGGACAGGCCGAGCAGCTCAAGGTGATGCAGGTTTTTACAGACCACCACGGGGAGCTCCCTCAGGTCGAGGCTGTAGAGCCGCAGTTCGCGCAGGGCGCGCAGGCCGCTGAGCACCGTCAGGGAGGAGGGGGCCAGGGGGTTGCAGCTCAGGTCCAGGCCCTCCAGGTTGCTCAGCGCTCCCAGCTCAGGGCACAGCCCTCTCAGGCTGTTCCTGTGCAGGTAGAGGATCCTGATGTTCCTTAAATGGTGAATATCCTGGGAAATTTCTTCAATGCGGTTATTTTCCAAATGCACTTCTTCTAATTCTTGTAATGCCAAGATCTCTGGTGGAATAGCTGTCAAGCTCTGATTAGAAGCGTCTATGAAAAATGTTCTATCAGTGACCTGTTGTTCATCACTTCGCTGATGAACTCTAGATGAGTGTTCTGCTTTTTGTATGTACTCTGACATTATTTTGAAGGGAAGTTCAAATATTCAAAATCTGAAATACTCTGAAAAGAAAGAAAAAAAAATCAGAATCCCCCTGGTACTAGATTTATTATTCTTAACAAAACAATCTAGTTTACTAAATTTAGTACTTGAAATTATTTTGCCATTAATTAGTTTTTGTTTCATGTTAAGATAAAGTGTGGGCTCCTCTTTCTCCTAACAGCACACACACAGAGTCTAATTTCTTTTTTTTTTTTTTTTTTTTTTTTTTTTTTTTTTTTTTTTCACTGTTGATTTTAGGTTGGCCTTGAGCTCACTTTGTAGCCTAGGCTGGTCTCAAACTTGCAATGATCTTCCTGCCTCAGCCTCCTGAGTGCTGGGATTACAAGCATGCACTACCACACCAGGCGGTTCAGACTTTGTACCTGTGGAACCCCACGTATCGGTATCATTCCTGCATCCTGCAGCACAAAAGTATAGGTTTCAGATCCTTGTTACCTTGTGCCCACCTTCAAGAGAGTTCTGGGACAGTATCGCATTCTGTTATGTGAAGAAAGAAAAATAGTAAGCAATAAATAAACTGTCTTCAACATCTTTGTCCTTTAGTTATTAGGCAGAGTAATCTTACTGTTCAATCCTGTAAGATAAAAACCTCCAGTGTCCTGAATGCAAATTTCTTAAAATGTCAAAGGCTCCTAGGTATATACAGTGGTGCCTCAGTTCAAATTTAATTCTTTCCACCACTCTGGTCACAGAATTTGTTACAGAATTCTCATTGCAACCGAACTGCAAGTAACTGTTGTTCACAAGAAGCCTGGCTTTTGCCAGGCAGGATAGTACATGTCTGTAATCCCAGCTACTCAGGAGGCTGAAGCAGGAGGATCACAGGTTCAAAGCCAATCCAGGCAATTTAGGGAGAGTCTGTCTCAAAAGGAAAAATAAAAATATTTTTATGTATACCTTAGCAGTAAAGCACTTGCCTAGTGTATATGAGGCTCTGGGCTCAATCCCAGTACTACAAAATAAATATAATAGATCAAAAAACTTGGCTGTAATTAAAATCATTCTCTTTGAGTGTGAGGTTCAGACTCAGTTTTCTTGCACAGCCTCCAAAAGTTCACCTGGGGAAATCCACATGGACGCACCACCAAGACAAGGGTTCCCATCCGTGTTCTGGGGCTTTCGGACATGTGAAAGGGCTTATTTGTCTTTAAAATTCATCTTGCCACCTAGTCTGTCTGAGCATGTGTATGATCATCTGATTATCTCACCTTAAACATGTCTTCCACATGTTTCTGGAACCAATTTGACAGCTCTCTCTCTGTCTCTCTGTCTCTCTGTCTCTTTCTCTCTCTCTCTCTCTCTCTCTCTCTCTCTCTCTCACACACACACACACACACACACACACACACACACACACACACGCAGCCCCCAACATATGATGGTTTGGTTTAAAATTTTCAACTTTATGATGATATAAAAGCAATACACATTTTAGGTCTTTCCCTGGGCTAATAATATGCAACGTGGCACTTTCACAGTGCTAGACAGTGCAGTAACTGAATTTCAAGCCATGCGATCTTCTGGGTAAACAGCCAATATTCCACAGTACACTGTGTTGTTAAACTCTGATGTTTCATAGATTAGGGGTGTATTAACATGTTTTTGACTTCAGGATATTTTCAATTTATGATGGGTTTATCAAAATGTAACCCAATTGTAAACTGAGGATCATCTGTGTATCATTCTTGGGTTTAATAAAAGAAGATAAGCCAGAATTTGTATAAAACTTGGCCAGTAAGTCAGCCAAATTAAGTAAGAATGAGAAAAACTGATTCTGAATTGGATGTTTTTTCCTAGGGATTGTTAAACTGCATGTGGTAAAATTAATTTATTACATCCAATATTACCATAGGGCAGGTAATTTAATAATTAGTCTTTCTTTGAATAACTCTAATGATTGAGAAACAACTAGAAAACTGATCAGTTCTCCCAAATACATAGTGAATGCTACTACTTTTGTTTTCAAGTCTGAATATCAGGCCCGCACAAAGCTCTGACGGGGTAAAATCTTGCGTGCTCTACAGTAACACCGTTTATTTGACAAACAAACAAATACAAAACAAAACAAACTTTTGGGAAACTACAAAATCCCTTGAGATTATGCTCCATATAAACTTCATATCTGAGTGGAAATCTTATAAGTGAACACTTTAGATTTTTCAGCTGAATGTGGAGAGAATGTCAAAGGCTCTGACAATAATAAAAATGGGCTACTGACAGCCTACATGTTTCCTTCTTAGGCAAAACGGTAGGAGGGAAAAAAGAATCTGTGATCTTATAATAAGGTTTGAAATGTTCCTAGAATTTGTCTAAGCTGGGGTCCACTAACCCTTTCCTTTTGAAAACTCTTCAGCAATGAAGGCCTTAGCAGAACATCTTTTGCCACAACTGTTAGTCTTCCTGCGAGCTGCGTGCCCTGTCACCAAATTATTCATCTGACTACTAGCTGCTCAGAATTATCATATACAGTCAAAAGTAGTATTTTATCCCTTTTCTTTTTATTAGTACCTGCTTGCAGTAGATAATCACGTTCCTTGTGGGGAGTTGGCACATGTATAATACACCTCCATTCTCTTTTATTTCCTTCCCCTCCCTTCCCTCTTCTTCCCTCCATCTCTTCTCGGTCCCCCTCCTTTTTGCAAAAGTTCTATCTCCTTGACTATTATATATCTTTTGTTTGTTTACACTTTGGGTTTCTCATGTAAGAGAAACAATGTGATATTTAAGTTGTGTTTCTGATTTATTTCACTTCATATTATAGTCTCAAGATGCATCCATTTTTCTGCAAAGGACAACTTTTTCTTTATGGCAGAATAGTACTCCATTGTGTATAAACACATTTTCTTTATCCATTCATCTGCTGATGGACATACAGGCTGCTTCTGAGAATTAGCTATTATGAATTGTGCTGCTATAAACATGGGTGTGCACGTGTCACTGCAATATGATGTTTTAAGTTCTTTTGGGAAGCGGCCTAGAAGGGGACTAGCTGGGTTGAATGGAATTGATTTTATCCACTTCTTAAAATGTTCCACTTTTCATTCCCCTACCCATACCACCTCTTTAATAATTAAAAACCTTATTTTTAAAAATTTGTCATTTAAAATTGTTAATGAGCAAGATGATTTGGGGCACTATTCCACTATTATACTTTCTCATCAGAAAATAATAATGCGAAGTTTTATGAGTCACTCATGTTTTTATCTAGAGATCAAAACATTTTTAAATGACAGAACACTAATTTTGTGACCTGAATATTCAATACCCAAATAATGTACATGCTTGAATAACACCTGAAGCCAGCACTTTGTATGGTCCTCAGAAAATTCAGCCATGAATTTAGCCTGTTCTAGCACTTAGTACCAAAACAGTCGAGGCATCTGATAGGAAAAATATAGCTACTGGACATGTTAAGTATTAGTTTCCCCAAATCCTTTGCATTCTAGCTCCAAATTATCAGAAAATACACTCAGACCACTCTGAGTATAAATATACTCAGAGTATATAAATATACTCTGAAAATAGGCCACAAAACAGCAATTTTCCTGCTTCTGGGAACTAATAATGTTGTTTTTCAGGATGAAGGGCAGAACCCTAGGACCTGACCTAAAACGAGCTGAGTAGAACCAAAAGTCTCCACTGAGAGAAGCCCGGATAATGAGAAAGTCACACAGACCTAGAGTAGACATGAGATGTGGTCAACACCTGAACCAGAAACAGGGAGAGACTGGACACTCTCCCATTACAGAGTATCCACAAGTCCTCCCCTGGTCGGAAAGTGGGTGTGATCCCTTTCCCTGGGCTGTTTAAACTCCTTAGCTAATTCCAAACTGGCAGACAGATTTCAGCCATGCTTTCAGTCTCTTCATAGTTCGATGTACAATAGGCTTTCCTCCTTGCAAAACTGGTACTGGTTCGTATGTTTGCCAGTCATTTCTTGGAAAATGACTTCTTTAAGTAAATATCATGCATTGGGCTGGTTAGAAATAATCATCTGAGGCCAAGCATGGTAGTGCACACTTGTAGTCTCAGCACTAGGAAGGCTGAGGCAGGAGAATCAACTGAGTTTGAGGCTAGTCTGGGCTATATAATGAATTCAAGCCATCTTGAACTGCATAGTGAGACTATCTAAAAAAAATAAAAATAAAAGAATCATTTGAAAGATACTTCTAAATCTTCTACAAAGTAACAAAGACATTATCTATGAAGTTATTTATATAAAGATAAATGTACTTAGCCTTCTTAGAATAAGGCACCAGAAAAATGCAAATGCTGACTTTTATTGGAACATGGGACTACATAACCTGATGCAGTGCTTTCATTCTGTTTTCTAGAAAGTTCAGATTCAACTTAAACCTCCAAACACTCTATGACCTTGCATGTAAGCCCTCAGGAAGCCTCTCCAAGCTGCCAGGAAGTCAGCTCAGTGCCACCTCTCTCCTCCCAGAAGGATTCCAAAGGGAAGGGGACTCACTGGGAGAAAGGAGAAGGCGCTGATGGAAAGAGTTGTGCATGAGATCGATGTCCTTTTGACCATCCTGTTTGACACACACTTTGACAAGGCTGTAGTTCTGTGTGAATATTCGTACTGTCGCTGTTTTGTTGTTTTTCTCTGAGGCAGACACGGAGAAGAATGCTGTAGGTGCTGTTGGTTGAGGCAGGCCCTGTCTCTTCTTTTTAATCAGTCACTCTAGATTATGTGCTTTCTGTTCTCTCTGAAGAACATCGCTCCCTTCCGCTGTAGCAGCTCCGCAAACCTCTCTTCATTGTGTTCAGGCAAGCCACGTTTGTCGTTTCTGGCGCTGGGAACCCAAAGAAGGCTCCGAACCCAAGGCCTTGGACATCCTAGGCGAGCGATTTACCACTGAGCCACCTGCCCATTCCTCTTCGCTTTCCTCTATCTTACTAACTCCAAATACTCTGAGGGAGAGGGAAGGCAGGTGGGAAATGGAGCTGATCTCATCGTTATTCTAAAAGCCCAAACTGCCTCTCAGCTTGGTGGGAGCCCACGGACACGCATGGCCCTGTTCGCTTTCCATCTCCGGTCTCTAGCAATCCCTAACGCAGTCTTACCTTCCTTTCTGTTTCCTTTCCGCATCCAGGCACCACACTCTACACTTCCCCCCGTAACACTGCGCGGTTCGTCCCCACCTCCACCCCACGCCCAGCCTTAGTCCTGCAGTGGCTGCCTCCGGGGAGGACCGGTCAGATCCCTCCTCTGTCGCCGAGGACGCGAGGGCTCCTCACAAGGTGCTCGGCGCCCGGTGGATCTGACCCTCCCCCGCCCCCGCGGTCTGCCCTGACCAAGCGCACCGAAGGACCTCCCGCTCCGCCGCCCGCACCGCACCGCGCCGGCCCTCCCGCCTCAGCCTCCGCCCCGCGTCACACTCCGGGAAGCTCGCCCTGGTCAGGCCCCGCCCCAAGCCCATTGTGCTCCTTCGCAGCGCCTGTGCGCTCCTCTGCACCCAGAGTACTGCACACTTGAAGGCCCCGGCGTGTGTCACAGTCGTCTTTGCAGCTTTGGCTCGTAGCCCAGTGGGGCCGCTCAAACCTCAAGAACTCCTCAAGTGTGCCTTTAGCCCAGGGCGGGGTGGCCGAGGACCCTCATAGAAGCCGCGGTCTCCGCCCTCCAGGGCCGAGGCAGGACCCGCGCCTCAGCCTCGCAGCCAGGCGCGGTCGCCGTGGCAACGCCGTGGTGCAGAGCCGAGCGCAGCGGAGCGCAGTATGAAGGGCAGCGGCTTCCGGGAGCTGGAGGCCGCCCCGGCCCCGGCCCCGGCCCCGGCCCCGGCCCCGGCCCCGGCGGGTAAGCATGGTCAGAAGCAAGATGCCTTCGGGTGTCCACTGGCTAGGACAAACGCGCGACGGCGGTCGGGATCTCACCGCCGATTGCTGAAGCTGTAGGCCCCTGGGGACCCCAGCTGTGGACTGAGCCCCCGGCACTCAGGCCGTCCCTCTCTGCCCTTAGGGCCTCCTGGAAGGTGTTTCCTGCCTGCTTTCAGCGGAAGCTCCAAGGAGCAAGAGATGGTTCAGACTTTGATTTTGTTTATTTGTTTGTTTCTTGTCTTTTTGAGGCAGGGTCTCGTTAGGCAGTTCAGGCCTGCTGTGCGTGAGCTCACTTTGTAGCCCAGGCTGGTCTCGAACTCACAACGATCCCCTGCTTCAGCCTCCAGAGTGCTGGGATTACAGGCCAGGCGGTTCAGACTTTGTACCTGTGGACCATCTCCGTTTTAAATTTTCCACCCACGTGACTTCTTAACAAGTAGTGCGGGGAACTTGCAGACCCCACCCTCACCCCTTCAATTTGGATGCTTTTTTAAGTTTGTGTGGATTTGTAACTGTCCCGGGAAGGAGCCTTTCTTAATCCTCACTGACCGAGTCATCAATATTGTTATGCTCCGCCTTTACAGAAAAGGAAATGTAGGCTCTGAGAGTTTAACGTGAAGTTACACACTGGCTCCTGAGTAGGGCTGCAAGGGCCTCCTCTCACCCTAGAATTTCCCAGTAGTTGGTTGTTCCAGATCAAAGAGCATCTTTGGGAGGGAACCGTCCCCAAAATAAGTGGGTCTTTTCTTCAGACAATTTTAAATGTGGTGCCAGAGGTGGATGAAAAATGAAATTTTGGTTACATTCTTGACATTTTCCCGTGTAGCTAAATTATTACCCTCGTTTTTGCTTTACAATTTGAAGACTGGCTTGAATATATAGTATAGGAAACAACGGCACCATAATATCCTGACCTATAATACAAAGGTGAATTTTAAATTAAAAGAGTAGCAAGAAAATCTGTCAGGAACTTTTCAATATTTAAATCTGTGAGTAACTGAGTAAATGAGAATACCCTTGTAGGCTGGGTATGGTGTCACACTGCCTGGAAACTCCACCACTTGGAGGCTGAGGCAGTGGATTACAGTGAGTTTCAGGCTAGCCTGGACTATGTAGCAAGACCCTGTCTCAAAAACAGAAAGAAAGAATATCCTTGTAACTTTCTTTAGCTATACTAATTTATAATCTAAGATTCCTTACTGCCTTCAGAAAAACTAGTTGTAAATCTGATACATTTCAAGCACCCTGGGCATGGTGTGGCCAGAAGCTCAGGGATTCTGGGGTCAACCTTTCCTCTTCTAATATCAGGAAACCTGGTGGGAGCCTGGTTCCAACTTTTGTTTGGAATCTGTTGTCTTTGCTTTGTTTCCTGGCCGGAATGCTAACACAGCATTTTCTAGATTGCATCCCAAGAGAGCCATGATCACATAGGGCTGGGAAGTGCAGCATTCTCTCCTCTCTCACCTCCTAGCTTAAAATAAGTTGAGGAGTCCTTGTGCACCTGTTTTAAATGTCTGAGAAGAGTTGCAGCTAGGGCTTTGTTTAGCTTTGCCTCATTCAGCACTTGTCACACGTACTTGACAGTAAAATCCGTTCTGTTTGAACACCTTTGATCATCGTGTAGAACATCAGTATCCCACAGAAGTTTGAGAAAAGTTACACTACTGTCTTGGTTACTTTTCTGTCGTTGCTGAGACAAAATACCCAACGCCCAAAATGAAGGAAGGAAAGTTTTATTTGGCTCACAGTTTGTGGAGGTTTCAGTCCATACTTGGCTGGCTCCGAGGCAGAAGGTAGCAAAGCAACAAGAGCAAAGGGGGGAACGGCAGCCGAACAGCAAACAGCCAGAGCAAATGTGGGGGATTGTGGCAAGCAGCTTTTTTTTCTCTGCCTTACTTTGTAAACAGGCTACCCCCACCTAAGGGGCGTGTAGCTCTCACATAATCTCCAAGCCCTCCTCTTCCACAGGCTCAGGATGTATACAAAGTAAGCACCCTGGCTTCCTGCTGAGTCACTTAGCCAAACCTCTAGACTCCCCAAGTTGACACAATGTATGAACCATAACAACTACGATATTAAATGCATAAAATTTCCTAAAATACGTAAAAGATTTAATTTGTACATCCTTCTACTTGGCAGATACTGTGCTGACATTAATTTTTTTTCAGAGCACTTGGAAGGCTGAGGCAGGAGGATCACAGTTAGTTCGAGGCTGGTTTGGGCTACGTAGTGAGTTCAAGGCTAGCCTGGGCGACATAGTGAGACCCTGTCTCAAAAAACCAAAAACCAAAAAAAAATTTTTTTCTGAAAGTATCTAATGGCATGGGAAATCTGCTCATAATGTTAACTGAAAAAAGCAGTATATACAAGTACACCCAAAGGTTCCACTTTTAAATTTATTTTTTAAAAGCCATTCCAAGTACTTAAATTTATTTCTTCTCATTTTAAATATAATGTACCTCACTTTAAATCTTGTTCTGCAGATCTGTTTCTAGCAAATTTAATTCCTGTAGTGCTGAAATCCACTCAGTAAAAATTTAAGGTATAGAGAAGCCAGCTCCTAAAAATCCAGGCTAATTGGCAGTCAGATCTTGAGCACAGATTTGTAAGGAGACATACACAAAAGTAGAAGGAGAAAGAGAGAGAGAAAGACAGAGACAAAGATAGAGACAGAGACAGGTACTGCTTAGAGAAACAACAGCATAGCTTCCACCTCAGGAAGACCTGGCCCTTGCAGACACTTTTTGAACTCATGAGTAGGACCATTAGAGAAAGCTGTGTGTATAACAGAAGGGAGACCCGAACTTCTATTTTGTCTGTTGTATAAGTGCTTACAAGAGCTTGCAGGGCTGGGGCAAGGCTCCTCAAAAGACTGCACATGCTCTGAATTAGATTTGATGGAGGACACAGAATTGACAAGATCGGCCCCCCCCACAGAGTCAGACATAGAAGAATGCAGAAGATCTGTCCGAGGTAGAGATCCAAAGGATCTAGCTGAGGACGTGGAACCCAAGGCAATGTCCCATGCACACTCTGTGTGCATCAGGAGGCTGAAGGATCTGCCATGGAAGACCTTGGGGCCTGCTCCAAGGTTGAAGAGTCTGCACTAAGTGTGAACTGAGAGCCCGGAGATGACGCACAAGGCAAGGCGAAGACTGGAGCTCTGCAGAGGAAAACCAGCTGAGATCCTTCCCTCCTGTTCTCCTTTTTATACCTTTCCCACAACAAGCCTCCTTAAGTGGGTCTTCCATGTGGAAAACCATGCTGATTCAATTCATCTGGGCTTTCCCCACTCAAATTGACCATTAGTCAGTTAACTACTGCATCTATCATTAGTAAGAATTGTACAGGGGGAAATTACCTTTAGAAATAGGAAATAGTGGCTCGGCGTGGTGGCACACGCCTGTAATCTCAGCACTCAGGAGGCTGAGGCAGGAGGATCAGAGAGAGAGGAGTCTGGGGTGGGTAAATAACTTATATGAGACAGACTTCAGTTTGGAGTGAAGAACTGACAGGGTTATTATAGTCAGAGATGCTAACTTGGGAAGATGTAGAGTGTATCCAGAAAGTCTATGGGACTAGGTGATTTTTCAGATCCTTTTGGATTTTTCAGATCCTATTGTTGGATAAAATTCTTTTACTTGCAGCTGATTTATGACACTGAGGCGCTGTAACCAGTGTCTGTGATGCAGTGGAAAGCCTTCCGGTCCATTTGAATACACACTGCTGTTATGAACTGTGTGATTTTGCAGAAAATATTTCATTTCCCTGGACATTATTTTCCTCAGGTACCAGGCTTGGCACAAAATAAAGCTTAGCTCTCTTTATGTCATTTCCAAGTTAGGGTGCCGATGTGAGCCCCCATGGGTGTGTCTGTGACCCTCAGTCTCCAAATAGTGTTTTTGTTCTCTCTCCCATTCCTTTTATTTCTACTTCTAGCCTTAGTTCTCCCCTCCTATCTTTGAAAGACTTATAGTTGCTGTTGAAAGACAGTTTCTGGAATAATTTACACGTGATGCTGAAAACATTTATTTTTCAGAAGCTCCAGGGTCTATTGCTGCTCTACAGGAAGGTTATTGTAAAATATGTTCAGAAAAATCCCAGAAAATTAATCCTTTCATACTGCACATACTCCAAAAAGTGGATGAAGAAATTCAAAAGGGGTAAGGAAGACAAATATTTTATTATGCTAGCTGTGTTTCTTATCTGTGTAAAAATCCTGCATCACTCAGTGATTTTATAGCCGCTTGAAAATGCTTGGTGAAGTGGATCTCTCTTTTGACTCAGAGAAGTAATTCGGTGAGAGACTGACTTCTAGGTGGCATTAGGTCTTAGAGGTGGCGTTGGACACTGGGAAGAGCCCTAGACAAGACATCCAGGGGCTGGGGATATAGCTCAGCGGCACAGCGCCTGCCTGGCAAGCGCAAGGTCATGAGTTCAATTCCCGGTACTGGAAAAAAACAAAACAAAACAAAACAAATGAACAACAAAAAGACATCCAAAAGCCTTGGGTGAATTCAGGCAAATCACTGATGTTTTCATTGTTCTTATCTATAAATCAGGGATACTTTGTGTGAGAGAGAAATTAAGTTGTACAGAATATATGAAAGCGCCTTGCAAAGCCTGCAGAGTGGCCAGTAGTTTACGTTACCTGGTATAAATGCACTGCATACTTGTACATCTACTGCGTAGTTGCTTCCAGTAAATGTTATCTGTGATGTTACTGTTTAGATGTGAAAAAACACTTTTTTAAAAAACTAAGTTTCTTTCTTTGTATTTCAAGATCCTTTTCTTTGTAAAATTTAACAGACCCAAAGAAGGAATCACATTGAACATTGCTGGTAACAATCGCTTAATCCCAGTACAAAGAGTGACAGGTGAAGATTTTTGTATTCTTTCTAAAATTCTAAAGAATCATCCATCTATTAATGGTAAGTTTAAGAATCAATGCCTCCAGCTTTTCATTTTTAAGATTTTAAGTATACTTTAGAAGGAATATCCTTCTCTTGTCATCTGTGTCCTTTTCTATTCACCCAGGCTTGGATGTTAGATATAACCTCATAGGTGATGTTGGTGCGCACTACGCTGCAGAACTTCTTCAGGTATTACTTTACTTTACAAGAAATATTCTTCCATGTTTGGCTAAGTGAAACCAGCTAGTCTAATGGTGTGCACATACACACAAATAGTAGTCATGCAAAATGTCAGGGGTCCTGACTGTGATATATTTATAGTACTTGAAATACATGGGAATCCACTTGTACTGGTACTGGTACCAGTAGAGCTGGTACCTAGAGCTCCTGAGTCCTTTTTAATAAACTTGTACACTATGGCTAAATACATAAAGCATGTCCATATTTTGAATTATTGGTGAAGCTGAAAATAATATTTTTCTCTCCCTTATATTGCAATTATATTTTTTAAATGAGAAAGGTGATTTTCTTTTTCTTTAATAGTAGAAAATAAAGCATGTGAATAATTGACCAGTTTCTATAAAATGTATAACAGCTTTTTTAAATCTCCTTGTAGAAACAACTGTATCTCATTTACCTGAATCTTATGTTTAATGATATTGGGCCTGAAGGTGGAGAATTGCTTGCTAAAGCACTACATGTAAGCATTATACATCCAAAAGTAGCCTTTTATTTGAGAATATTAACTCCTGATAGCTTGGAAACAACAAAATGAAATATTAATGTGAACTTATATTATTTCAATACTGTAGGATTTGTATATTGTAGGATGTAATGGTTGATATATTGTGTCAATTTGAGAAGTTTGGTGTTATATCGAAGAAGGCTTCACCTAACTCAAAATCACAAAGATTTACATTTATGTTTTCTTCTAAGTTTTATAGCTTTAGTATTTTTTAGTTCTTTCCACTTTTTTTTTGAGCTCACTTTGTAGCCCAGGCTGGCCTCAGACTCAGAGCAATCCTCCTTCGTCAGCCTCCCAAGTGCTGGGATTACAGGCATGTGCCATCACGCCTTTCTGAATTGTATACTTTAAAATGATGAGTTTTATGTGGATTTCACATCAATGAAATGGTATAGGCTTCTTAAAAAATATATTTACAGGTTTTCCAGGAAAGGAAAATTTATTAAAATCTGCTTTATTTACTGGCTATTGCTTTGGTATCTATTTTCTGATAATTCTTTCCTCTATGCTATTTACATTGATTTTTATCTAGAATGGGAACTTGAACATTACCTTTAGAGGATGTATTCTAATCTATCTGCATGAAAAATATGTTTCCACAAATAGTAATATAGTCCCCTAACTTATTGAAATTAGAGAATTCTGTGGATTGAAACTTAATTAAGTTTTGATTCTTTTCCTTTTCAGGAGAATACAACTCTGAAATATCTAAGAATGACTGGAAATAAGATTGAAAATAAAGGTGGAATGGTTTTTGCTGCAATGTTGCAAATTAATTCATTCTTAGAGAAATTAGATCTGGGTGACTGTGATCTGGTAAGTAAACTAGTTTCCCAGGATATCAGCATAGAGAAACTTGGTCAAGAGAGCCTTATGAATAGCTCATTTTCCCCCTGCTGTCATAGCATACGGACTGTTAATGAAATCAGATTAAATACCATAGAAAAACATCCAGTTTAATAAAACTATTCCTAACTTTCTGTCTGTAGTTTTTTTTTTTTTTTTTTTTTTTGAGACAAGGTATCGCTATGCAGTTCAGGCTGGCCTTGAGCTCACTTTCTAGCCCAGGCTGGTCTCAAATTCACTGCGATCCTCCTGCCTCAGCCTCCCAAGTGCTGGGATTACAGGCATGCTCCACCATGCCTGGCTTGTCCATAGTTTATCTTAACCTATATGGGATTTCATTTTGTTTAAACAAATATTGTTTTATTAGTATGATATAAATTTCCTTATTTTGAAATATTCTGAGGTATTTATATTGTACCATAAAAACTTAAAACTGATTATACCAATAGCTACTGTGAACCTTTATCTAGCCTGGTAATGAGAAAGGTGTTTTTTACATGTCTTTGAAGTCCAGGTTTTGCTTTCTCAAATATGTTTTCCAGTCTTGAGGCCTTAGGAACTTGTCATATAGCCTCAGATGAATGCCAAGTCACTGGAACACAAAATAGTTCAGATGGGCCAAGAGGCTCCCTGGGATAACGGGTTCTGATGAACTGTTATTCAAAATAGTAGATGCAGCTAGTATGATTCTGGGAAAGCATTCATTATTTATTGCTAATATGTATCAGTCACTGACCTAGATGCCAAAGATATAACAGTGAATCAGATAAGGCCTCTGCTCTTATGAAGTTGGTATTTCAGTTGGGAAAACATCAATGAAGAAATAGAGAAAAGTGCTGTAAATATGACCAAGCACTCTGATAATTGGGAGGTGGTATTGTCTGATAAAAAGCTTGCCTGAGGCGTGAGGAGGTGCTATTAGGAGTCATGAAGGATGAGGAAAATCATCTTGGACATTGCTCATGGAAGCATAATGCAGGCAGTGGATTGAGCACACAGTGACAGTGCTTTGCAGGGGTGCTCTGGGTAATAGAGAATGAGGAAATTTTAATATTCATGTGTTTGTTTTTCACAGGTTTTTCTGTTTATGTTAAGGGATTATGTCCTTCCTTTTATGGCAATGACACAAAGTTTATTTTAAAATAAATATAAATGAATTGATTTAGAGCTGGGTGTGGTGACACACAACTGTAATCCCAGCACTTGGAAGGCTGAGGCAGGAGGATTGCTGTTGAGTTTGAGGCCAGCCTGGGCTCCATAAGTGAATTCAAGGCTTGCCTGCACCACATAGTGAAGACCCTGTCTCAGAAAAAAACAAAAAACAAAAAACAAAAAATAAAATAAAATAATTAATTAGAAAGTGTTAAGCAGACAAGTATTACTTGGTAAAGTAATTCTGCATATTTAGATATGGCAACAGTCATGAGGGAGGCACATGAAAAATACCAAGTCTGTCAGATAGCAAAAACTGGAAAGTGCGGCATGATGGCTGCCTGGTAAGCGCGAGGTTGTGAGTTCAATTCCCGATACAGAAAACAAAACACAAAAAAAACTAGAAAGTCCAAGAGTTTGAGCAGAGAGAATTACAACCGAGCGCCCTGAAGTAGAGGAGGAAAGGTTCGTGGAGGCCAGTCAGGCCAAGCTGTATGGTGTACGGCGCATGTGTCAGGGCGAGAAGAGAGGCTTGTGAAATGCAAATCAGGGAAGGGCTTTACACTGAGAGGTAGCATGACCTGATTGGTGCTTTTAAAAGATCACTCTGGTTTTTCTATGGGGAACTGGAAGGCAGCAAAAAGCTGATGACCACTGAGATCGTTGCTGGAGTTGTCCAGGTGAGAGATGATGGCTTGGGCAGGAGTGGTGGCCATGGAGGCGGACAAGAACAGACTAATTTGAAACATCTTGAGGAGGCAGAATGTGTAAAACTTACCGACCAACGGGGTGGGAGGCTAAAAGGAGTAGCAGAGAAGAAGCCCTTTTCTCCTGATGTAACAGCCAGATGGGGAGGATTAGACCCTGCCAGTGAAATGGGGGTGCCCAGTGGGAGATGTGGAAAATGTGATAAGTAAGCCTTTGCCACCCAGCACCCTTAATATGCTAGTATGAACAGCGGGAGAATGCTCGCATAGAGTATGTGCTGCATTACGTGTGTCTCTAAATCTTGAGGTCTGCATCATACAGAACCTTGAGGACTTAGGTGCAAGCCTAGAGGAAATACCCAGGAAATGGATGCTGAAGATTAAAAAAAGTCACATGCATGTTGTAAATACATTTTAGAACAAGCAGAGAGGAGTACAGTATCGATTTATTTCTGAATTTGATCAGTATGTAATTCAAGAAGCAAGAGATGCTTACACTTTTTGAAAATAATAATTTTATCAGAATTCATATACTAGGTCGTAAAATATTTATGTAGTCTGATACTTTCCTTAATGAATTTGCCTGTTTTTAGGGCATGCAGAGTGTGATAGCATTTGCCACAGTACTAACTCAAAACCAAGCAATTAAGGGAATAAACTTAAACCGACCTATACTCTATGGTGAACAGGTATGTATTCAAAATGGCAGAAGTTAATGTTAAAAATATACGAATGAAACTAAAGTTCTTCCAGTGTATGATTCATGAGGACACTGTATTTTTGGTATTACCCTGTTAGATTTTATAAAGCACTACTTATGAATAAAAAACTTTTATTTCAAGAAAAATTAAGCTGGGCATGGTGGTGGGACCCTGTCTCAAAACAAAAATAATAAGAAGGGCTGGGAATGTAGCTCAGTGTGAAGACCATGAGTTCAATCCCCAGTACTGCCAAATATAGATAGATGGATAGATGGATAGATAGATAGATAGATTTAGAATATATATAATTAGACCTTTAAAACTAACTATGCTCTTAGATGTTGCTTACTTAAGCAGTAAATAGTCATTGTTTCTCTTTATTTACTTATTTATTTGGTACTGGGAATCAAACTCAGGACCTTGTGTTTGAAAGGCAGGCACTGTGCCACCAAGCTATATCCCCAGCCCTCTCTTGAAACGTGAGTTCTGAGTACTATAAATCTACGAGGGTTGAAGCAGTTCAGATGAAAGTATACATGGTTACAGTGTTAAAGGCTAGAATATAAGAGCATGGTATGAAATGTCTTACTGTTCACATTCATATAACTGAGCCACATGAATCATTTTATCTTTGAAGCAAGAGTAATAACAGCAAAATATGTGTGAATAACAGTTTGACTAGTCTGAACTCGATTGTTCCATATGTAAGATAATGCTGGAGGTAGAAAAAGACAAACATGGTTGCATCTTTTGAGGTTTCATGTTCCTTAACATCTTTTTGGGTGGTTTCTTCCACCGGTTACAAAAGGCTAGGGAAGAAGAACTCATTTTATTATTCATCTAAACCATGCACGTCCAACTTTTGGCTTGTCTGGACCATACTGAGTGAAGAGAAATTATCTGGGATCACATATTAAAAATGTAGTTAATTTATTAAGTAACAAAACCTCTTTTGATTTGCATTTCTCAGTTGACTAATGATGTTGAACATTTCTTCATGTATTTACTTGCCATTTGTATTTCTTTATCCAAGAAGTATGTATTCATCTCAGATGCCCATTTTTGGATTGGGTCTTTGAATTTGGAGGGGTTGATGTTTTTAAATTCTGCATATGTTCTAGATCGAAATCCTGTGTCCGAGGGACACTTGGCTAAAATCTTTTCCCAATTTGTGGGTTTTCTTTTCACTCTGTTGGGATTTCTTTAGATGTGCAAAACTTTTCAATAAGATGAGATCCCAGTTGTTGATTCTTTGAAGTATTTCCCGTGCAGTTTGGTTTTTGTTCATGAACTCTCTACCTTCCCGTCTTCAAGATTTTTACCTGCTTTCTCTTCCAGTAGATTTAGTGTTTCTGTTTTAATATTTACATCTGTGATCCATTTTGACTTGAGTTTGGTGCATGGTGATAGACATGGGTCTAGTTTTAGTCTTTGGCATGTGGAGAGCCAGTTTTTCCTGCACCATTTATTAAAGAGGCTGTCTTTCCTCCAGTGAACTTGTTTGACCCCTTTGTCAAAGATCAGGTAGCTGAGCATGTTTGTGGTTGTGGTTCCTTCTTCTAGTCTGTTCCATTGATCCTCAGGTCTATTTTTTAGGCAGTACCATGTTGATTTTATCACAGTAGCTTTGTAGTATAATTTCAAGTCAGGGATTGTAATGCCACCCAACTTGTGTTTGTTGCCCAGGATTGCTTTTGCTATTCTGGGTCTCTTCTGGTTGCAGATGAATTTTAGGAATATTTTCCCTAGATCTGTGAGGTATGCTAATGGTATTTTAATTGGTATTACATTGAATCTGTACAATTTTGGTAGTATGGCCATTTTCACATTGTTGGCATCATTTCCACTTTCTGAAATCCTCTTTGATCTCTTTTTTCAGAGTACTCTAGTTTTCACTGAATAGATCTTTTCCTTCTTTTGTTAGATTGATTCCTAAATATTTCAGTTTTTTGGATGCTATGGTGAAAGATGTATTTTCCTTAATTTCTCTCTCAGTGTGTTTGTTGTTTGTGTATAGGAATGCTGTTGATTTTTGAGTGCTGATTTTGTATCCAGCTACACTACTGAATTTATTAATTCTAGGAGTCTTTTGGTGGAGTTTTTAGGGTCTTCCATGTAGAGTATCATGTCATCTGTGAATAAAGATAATTTCACATCTTTCTTTCCTATCTTTGTTCCTTTTATTTCTCTGTCTTATCTAATTGCTGTGGCTAATGCTTCCAGAACTATTGAACAGGAGTGGTGACAGAGGAATCCTTGTCTTAGTCCTGATTTTAAATAGAAAGCTTTCATTTTTTGTTCATTTAGTATGATGTTAGCCAATGGTTTGTCATAGATGGCTTTGATCAGATTTAGGTAAAGACCATCTATCCCTACTTTCTGTGAGTTTTTTTTTTTTTTTTTAATCACGAATGAGTGTTGCACTTTGTCAAAAGCTTTTTCTGTATCTATTGAGATGATCATGTGTTTCCATCTCACCCCAGGAAGAATGGCTATCATCAAGAAATCAACCAATAACAAATGCTGGAGGGGCTGCAGGGAAAAAGAAATCCTTCTCCACTGTTGGTGGGAGTGTAGACTGGTGAAAACACTGTGGAAATCAGTCTGGAGATTCCTCAGGATTAGGGGTCCCATTCAACCCAGCTATTTCCCTTCTGGGTATTTTTCCAGAAGAACTGAAAACATCATATCACAGTAATATATGTGCACCCATGTTTATAGCAGCACAATTTGTAATAGCTAAGTCAGGGAAGCAATCCAAATGCCCATCACCTGAGGAATGGATAAAAAAATTGTGGTATTTTTATACAATGGAATATTACTCAGCTATAAAGAAAGATCCACTCAGGGCTTTTATAGGTAAATGGTCACAGCTAGAGACCATATTCATAAGTGAAATAAATCAGACCTGCATTTGTAAACACCGTATTGTCTCACTAGTGTTAGAACCTGAGGGAGTGAATTAAGTCTGAGGGAGTGCAATTGATACTGTAAAAAGGAAGGAAACTGCTGGAGGTGGGGAGCAGCTGGGATGAGGGAAAAGAGAAAAGAAAGAAATAAGGGAAAAATGTGTGTATAGGTATACATAGGATAACTAAGATAGTTGTACTATTGATTTCTATTGCTTTATTGAAAGAGATAGCTAATGTTTGTTTTATCAATCTTACATGCCTATATTTATCTGAGTAACTAATTTGAACATATCAATCTGTAATACAGCCACCATTGTTAATTTTCTATCACCTTGTCTGAAATATGTATTGCTTGTATTGTTTTTGTGTTATTTTGTAAATGTCTGTGTGTCTGTTAATATGTTTTTCCTTTAATCTTTAATATAAAAACCTTTTATTTTTAAAGTATATTAAAACAATATGACACAAGCTCAAGTTTTAAAAATTAAATAAGAAAACTTACGTGTTTGCTTACTAACAATAATTTCCTGCCTTTAAAGGCACACACACATAGTAGGTTGAAATCTACTATGGGTAATTGTTGCATTTTCATCCCTAAATTGCACAGTGCTTGCAATATCTGATACACGTTTCAATTCATGCCTGTAATTGCAGCACTTGGGAGTCTGAGGCAAGAGATTGCGATGAGTTCAAGGCCAACCTGGACTACACAGCAAGTTCAAGGCCAGCCTGAACTACATAGTGAAACCCTACCTCAAAAAATCAAACAACAACATTTCAACTGCGTCTGGCAAGTTCAAGAGGTAGAGTTAGTACTGCCCTGTGCACTCCCCTCCACAGCATTCTGCTGTGGCCTGCAGTCTGCACTTGAGCACCACCCAATTGAATCATGAAAAAAAATCACTAAAAAAGTCAGTGTGGCTGTCCAGGGTGGCATGCAGACTGTGGGTGTGTGTTGGACATGCTTGGTCTTAAAAAAGAGACACAAGTACTAAAAGAAAAAGTAAATGTCCAAAGTACTTTATACTAACAAAAAGTGAACTTTAAACTGAGCATAAGGGCACATATCTGGAATCCCAGTTATATGCGGGGCTGAGGCAGGACGATCATAATTTCTTTTTTTCTTTATTTTAAACATAAAGGGAGGAAAACATTAACAGACAGACAACCTTTTACAAAATAGCAAAAGAACAGTACAGACAGTACAGAGTTACAAACAAAGCGGTAGGAAATTAACAATGCTTGTTGTATTACATATTGATATCTTCCAAGTGGTTTCTCATGAAAACAGATAGAGACATGCAATATTGATCAATCTAGGACTCATTGACAGTTTCTTTCAGCAAAAAAATAGAAGCAGTAGATCAACTATGTTAACTATCCTGTATATACATACATACAAAATTTCTCCTTCTTTCCCTTCTCTTTTCCCACATCCCAGATGCCCTTTACCCTTGAGTATTTTCCTATCATTTCACAATGAGGAGGATCATAATTTCAAGGCCAGCTTAGTAACCAAAACTTAGTCTCAAAACACAACAAAAACAGTAAAAATTCAGAACTTTAAAGTTCAGTCTGCAAAAATGTTCATTAAAGTTCAATATTTAAAAGAACTTTGAACTTTTTAAATTGTATTTTTGAGGTTTTCTATTAGTACATGTTTGCAATTCACAATCACTTTGGAGCATGGTTACCTGTACACACACAGCTTGTTCTTTCCTAATCTCCTTCCCCTCCACCTTCTGCTCTGGCTCCCCTCTCTCATCTCCCCTTTTCATACTTGTTGATATTATTTGTCTTAGCTCATGTTATAGATATAATGTTTACATTAATTGGAGTTATAGAAATCCTATACATGGCGCATCTTTATTCCTCTCATTTCCCTTCAACTCCTTCTCATCCCTCTCCTTGTTCCCTTGGACCACTTTCCTATTGGATGAGATCTTCACCCTTGTCCCTTTGAACTTTTTTTAAAGTTTGAGTTAACTTTTAAAAAGCTCAAAGTGCTTTAATTTAAAATTAACGATCTCATTATTCCTCCTTAGTATAAGAATTAAGAATTAGCCACATTTTAAGTATAATACCTGACAAACACAACTTCAGTCCATGGTTAGTCAACTCCAAGGCAAAAACATCATAATAGAAGGGTAGAGTGGAGGAAGGCTGCTCACCTCATGGTACCCAGAAAGCCAAGGGTGAAAGAAGGAACCAGAGAGCAGGTATACCTTCAAAGGCATGCCCAGTGACTTTCTTCCAATCCCTAACAGCCCAGTCAGCTATGACTCATCAATGGGTTAATCCACTGATAGGGCTAGCACCTTTAAAATCCAATCAGCTCTCTAGGCATTCCTTGATCCACTCAAATTGACAATCAAGATTAACCATCATACCCAGGCTTCAAGGATTTTTCAGTTTAGATGGTAGATCAACCAGTCCACAAGGTGATATGGTCAGGGTGCCTGAGAGCATGAGGAAGGACTTTGAAATCAAAGTAGGAGCAGGGGAGGGAGCAGTGAAACATCTCTGATTGAGGACATGACAGATTTGAAGACTAAATAACAAACTTCCAGATTATATTCCTAAGGAAATATGTTTAAATGTATGAAACCACATTAGAAGTACAACCCTTTTAAGTATGTTAAGTGGTGTCATTAATGCTTAGTCCATCTGAGAAGAGTTATTAAAAGCCTAGGGCGCCTGTCTCAGGCCCAACACTTGCTCTCAGCCTGGTGCTTCTGGTGGCCAGCAGGACTCCAGCCTGTTTTAGGTTTTCAAGCACTGCCACCTCCATCCCTGGGGTACTATTCCACTCTTAAGAGAATCCTTTTGAGCCTCCCTATACATTGCTGTTCCCAAGTATTAAGCCTGTAAAACTATTGCGTTTAAGGCACTCATCAGAGGATAGTAAGATGAAAAAAATGTTCTCTGTTGGATCTCATCTTTGATTGCTCAATAAATTATCTGGTAAGCTTCGGAAAATACTAATGACAGGTGCCACCCTAAACAAGTTGCACAGAGAATGGGGCTAAAATTCTTTACTATCCTCTGATGATCCTTAAAAAGGATGGTTCTGCTCAAACCCTACAATGCTAGGTATTCAAATCATTAGGGCTATGTACCTTTGCCTAGAAGCAGCTAGATTGTGAAATTTAAAAAAAAAGTCTTCCAGTGACCAAAAAAAGTTTAAAAATATTCAGGAATTTCGGCTGAGTAAATCTGGGAGAAAATCTGACATATCACAGAGTTAGTAAGTATATTTTAAAAATAAAATCAAGACTGGGAAATGTCTGTATTTTATCTTACAGCTGTCCAGTGTGGTAAAGTTATGAAGGGACGCAAAGTTTTGAAGGGAGGGAGCAAAGTTATGAAGGGAGGATGCAAGAAGGGCTAGATGCGCTTCAAAGGACAGCAGGAGGGGCACTTACATGCTGAATACAGGATGCATCTGTTTTTTTTTTTTCCCTTTTGAAATGACTGATTGTTTCTTTTACCATTTGAGATAAGGTCTCACTATGTACTTCATGCAGGCTGTCCTGGAACTCAGAATGTAGTCCAGCCCAGGCTGGCCACAAACTCACAGTGATTCTCCTGCCTCAACCTCCCAAGTGCTGGGATTACAGGTGTATACCACCACTCCTGATTATTGTCTTTGTAAACCAGATTATCCATCCTCTTTGTCATTTAGCCACTGCATCTTACAAGTGCCTGCTAACTATTTCTAAGAAGGTAGAAGGTATCCAGTTGGGGCAAAGTTTTTTTTTTTTTTTTTTTCAGATAGGCCAAATGCAAATTATAGTAGACTAATAGGTCTAAACATATCTTCCTAAAAAGTGAATTCAAATAACAGCATGTATTTGGGATAGATATACACCATTACATTTTAGAAACAAGATTTTATCTATTTTTAGGAAGAGTCTACAGTCCACCTAGCTCATATGTTGAAAGAGAATCACCACCTTGTTGAACTACACATGTGTAAGCATGGTATAAAAAACTGTGGTTTCCATCAGTTATGTAATGCACTGTATCTTAACAGCAGCCTACGATATCTTGATGTCAGCTGGTGAGTGATAGTTTACATATTAATAATTCAAAAATTGTGAGGACTGAGTTTAAATCTTCACAGTATATGAGATACTTTGTTGGACACTACTTCCAATTATTAGAAAATCAACCATTGTTGCCAATCTTTTAGCCTAAACCTTAATAATTATTAATTTAGTTTACAGTGGGTTGTGGGCTGGGTGTGGTGGCACTCAGGGAGGCTGAGGCAGGAAGACTTTTGCAAGGTGGGGACCAGCCTGGGCTACAAAGTAGCACAAGGCCAGCGAGTTGTGTATTATAATAATTTGAATGCACAATTTAGTTATGTTAACCAGAATGAGAGCAGTATTTCATGATGAATTTTCATTAACTTTCTTGGATATTGAGTGAACTAAAATAGAAAGTACTGTTTATTATGTTTTCAAGTATCTTATTACTATGAATAAAAGAACAATATTCTGTGTTTTCACATACGACTAAATATTTTCCCTTTCCCAGCAATAAAATAACTCGTGATGGAATGCTGTATTTGGCTGATGTACTGAAAACCAATGCTACCCTGGAAGTGATAGATCTTTCTTTTAACAGAATAGAAAATGCAGGCGCAAACTACCTCAGTGAATCTCTTACTTCACATAACAGGAGTCTTAAAGCGTTAGTATGGTTTTATATTTAATCAAGATAACAGAAAAAAGTCTTAAGGTTATGATCAACTGTGAAAATTTGGTTTCTAAACTTCATTTTTATAGTAAACATCTAATTATTTTTCAAAAAGAAATGTCTTTTAAAATGTTGACTTTAATTCTAGTTATAATGGTTAAAGTTTATAAGAAAATTCTTACTGCTTATTATCCAGATTTGTAACAGAAAAATCATAAACATTCAACACTATGGAAACTTACATTTGTAATCTAACCATTTACTGAATAAGATAAAATAAAAAGTCTGTCTAAGCTGGACATGATGGCACATGACTGTAATCCCAGCACTCGGGAGGCTGAGGCAGGAGGATCACTGTGAGTTCAAGACCAACCTGGGCTACACAGTGAGTGTAAGGCCAGCTTGAACTGCAGATAAAGACCTTGTCTCAGAAAAAAAAAGAGACTGTCTATGCATTCCTCCTTTATGGATCTACGGGTATCCGGCATTATTACCTTCTGGTTTTTTACAGACTATCAATAGTCAGCAACAATATAGAAGGAGAAGGACTTGTTGCACTTTCACAATCAATGCAAACAAATCCTGCACTATCTAATATCTACATATGGGGAAACAAATTTGATGAGGCTACATGTGTGGTAAGTTTGGTTTTTTGTTTGTTTTGCATTTCATTGAAGGCCTTTTCTGGGATCTTCTCTGTAATATCAGACATTATTTACAGGTGCCTTGGAAACAGTTACAAAGTACAATAAACTACTACAGTTTTAGTAATTTTTTTGTTTTGTTTTGTTTTCTTGAAACAGGGTCTCGCTATGTAGTTCACCTTAGCCTTGAGCTCACTTTGTAGCCCAGACTGGCCTCAAACTTGTAATGATCCTCCTGCCTCAGCCTCCTGAGTGCTGGGATTACAAGCGTGTGCCACCACGGCCGGCTAATTTTAACAATTTTTAACATAAGTCCTACACTATAAAGTTTCATGGTCGAAATAACAAAATATATCAAATACCATATAATAGTATAAAGGATCTTCAATTATACAGTTCAAGGCCGGCCTGACCTACACACACAGCAAGACCCTGTTTCAAAAACAAAACAAATACTAACAATCTGCTTACAATACCTAGAAAATATTAAAATTCAGCAGTGTTATTCAAAATGTTTTCAATACCATAGTAGCACAGGTGAGTATCTGCATCTGTTTAAGCAGTGTAAATTGAATAAATTATGTTCTTAATGATGATAGTTTTTCTTAAAAATCCTAGGCATATTCAGATTTAATTCGAAAGGGTCGTTTGAAACCAGAAAATACAGATGTGGAGCCATTTGTGGTAGACGGACACGTGTATCTTGCAGAAGTCTCCAATGGCCTTAAAAAACATTATTACTGGACACCAACTTACGGAGATGCTTATGGGCATTCAACAAATGCAGGTTTTGCTCTTGTTCCAGTATGCCAAAATTTATGAAAAACAAGCTTACTATTTTGAGATTAGTATAGATTTTAGTGTAGATTAGTATATTTTATAGCCTTTTTTGTTTTCTTAAGTTAGAACAAGTTATTTTTATCAAATGTGTACTTTGTGTAGCTGACCATTGTGAAAAACTGCATAATTTTTAAAAGAAATTTTACAATATAAAGATTAAAAATTTAACTCTGGAGAAACCAGGGAACTACAACCTAGTGAAAAAACATACAAGTAAAGGTCACTATAGATATCTTAATTAAAAGTTGTTATGAAGTGGTAGAAAGGCTTCAGATAGCAAATTCCCAGTGCAGTTTCAAAAGTTCAGAAGTTGAAAAAGTATTACAAAGTTGAAAAAGTTGAAAAAGGTGTTACAGAGAAGTGCTAATAACACTTTCAACAAGTTCATGCAAACAGATACAAACCCATTATGTGCCCTGTTCCAAAAAGTCAGCCAGCTCCTCCACCTCCTCTCATGGACAAGTATTATCTCAACTTCTAATACTAGTTTTGCCTATTTTTGAACTGTATATGGAATCATAGTATATAATCGTTTTGTATCTCACTTCTTTTGCTCACCATTACATTAATGTAATTCATTCCTACTGTTTAATGTAGCAGTGGTCCAGTTTTCACTGCTTTGAGGTATTCATCATATAGCAGGTAGTAGTACAGAAATGGCCTTTCAACCTAAGACATAATCACATTAAAGTAAACCTTACCAATGAAGCTTGTCTCAGATTACTGTCTACTGCTGTGTGCTATGGAAGGGGCCCGGGAGTTCCACTATTTTTGAAGAGGAACCTGAAGTAGGAGGGCATATGATAAACCTGTAAACTGACCTACACTGGGCAGCTTGAGACTGAGCTGCAGGTGCTAAAGCCTTACAGAACTTTCCATACCAACAAGAACTAATTGTGGTTGGGTCAGCCAAGAACTACAGGCTCTGACCAAGAAAGACCTGATGGCATAGTTTATATGCCCAGAGAATACAAGAGCTCAAGACCCTGCCTAGGTGCTTCCATGATGTCATGTGAGCCCTCTCCATACATCTGGACACCATTCGAGAGACAGGATAAAAGGAGGAACATTTTCCCAAAAGATTAAGCATTACCTTAGATACCTTATCTTCTTTATATTGGAGTAGGCTTTCAAATGGCTAAGACTATAACTTCATTTTCTCTAGATTTACCACTATGTAAGGGCTCAAGAACATGTGAGTTTTTTGTTTTTCTTCCGGTACCGGGGATTGAACTCAAGACCTCACGCTTGCCAGGCAGGCACTGTGCCGCTGAGCTAAATTCCCTAGCCCCAAGAACATGTAAGTTCTATAGGAAAACTCCATTTCCTCTGCACATCTGAATTACACTAAATAAATCTGCAGCCAAAACATTCTTCCATTTTTCCCTCTTAGCAATCATCCTTTAAGATCCAGCTCAAATAAGCCTATTACAGTACATTGTCACATATCCTATGTTCATCATTTTCTTTCAAATTAGAAAGCAAAGATCAGCCCAGTACCACCAAAATGGAACAAAGGCAATACATAAAGTGATATATACTTTTAAAATATTTGGTAAAATAAACACTGCTTAACACATTCTCATTTTCAAACTATTCATTCACTATCTCCGTAATTTCTACTACTCAAACCGTATCCATCTGGCTCTTTACTCCCACTGTAACACTGCAAAGGACAAACATACTCATTACGCAGCCTAATGTCTTTGTGTAACATATTACTTCTCTGTACCATGTGGTCCCTAGAAAGCCCCCTTTGTCTCTGAAAAACCTACTCACTCTGGCTTTCTTCCTTTCTTTTTTTTTTTTTTTTTCTTCCTATCTTTCTGTTAACACTTTTTATCTTTTTCTGTCTTTGTTCATCCTTCAAATGCATTTCCCTTAAGGTTTTGTTGTCATCTCTTACTGTCCTGTGCCATCTCCCAGACTGCCTTCATCATTATTTTTAAGTTAGGACCCTTACAAGGATAGCTGTGAGATCTATATCTCTAGGTTTAACTGCTCCTGGGTTTCAGGCCTTATTTCCAACCACAGCTAGACATTTTCACATGTATCTTACTACCAGTCAAATGCAGTACAACTGCAAGTATCTTCCTTTCACAGATGATGGCATTACCATTTTCTCTGTCACCAAGGGTCAAAAACTGTCAATCCACTTGGGAGGCTGAGGCAGGAGGATTACTGCGAGTTCAAGGCCAGCCTGGGGTACATAGTGAGTTCAAGGCCAGCCTGGACTACATAGCGAGACCCAGTCTTAAAAAAAATTGTTTACTTTGGGGCTGTCTGACTGCATCAAACAAAAACTGACTTGAACCTATTTAAGAAAGGTGGGGGGAGGGGCTAAAACCTAGGTGTGGTGGCATTGATCTCTTCAGCCTATAAGAATGAAATATCTTCTAAATGGTTCCTATAACTTGGTCTCCAAACAGAGAAAATTGTGATCAAAGAAATCAATATCAATCAACACATTAACTTTATTATAGGTATAGTTTAAAAGTTAAAAACAAGCACAACAATGTATGGCAGAAATAAGAAATGTCACAATAATGTTTAATCAGCATTATGGGAAATGATTATGTGAAACTGGTAATTTAAAGACCAAAGATCAGGCAGTGAAATAAATTAGTATGTTGAAAAACTGGGATGGGGAAGAGTGGTAGCAAATATCAGAATACTACTAACTTTCCTTTACTTGGAAAAGGATCACTGTGAAACTATGACAACCAAAAGCTGTGGCTTAATTTATAAAATTTAAAAACCCAAAGTTTATAAAAAACTCAAATATAAAATATTTAATAAAGTAGCTTTCTGAGAACTCAGAATGTTCACTTATAATTGAAGTTAGAGTTTTTTTTTTTTTCTTATGGTGCTGGGGATCAAACCCAGGGCTTCAAACATGCTAGGCAAGTTTCTTAACTATTAACATACTGTATCAAATTTAGAAGCCAAGTGCTTTCTAGTATGTATTGAATTTGTGTCTAGAAAATTTTTATAATTATTTATTTTTAAAAGTGCATAATAGGCATGAGAGGCTTATCAAAAATTTTCAAAACTTGGTATATATTCCCTATTCCAATAACCTACAAACCTAATAAAATATAAACTGAATCAAAATTTGAAACTTTTTGACTACATAAAAACATCAAATATCTATTTAAAATTTATTTTGAAAATACAGTCTCAACTCAAACCAAAAATACTGACTTCACTAACCTTTGTTTTCTCCAGAATGCTGAGTTCTAAATGAACAAAAATGTATATATAGTTCTTTAGTTTTTAAGAGAAACACTGCTTTTGGTTTCATTAGAAAAGTTACCTCTAAAAGGAAAATATTAAAGCAATAGCACAATTCTTATTCATCCCTAAATTTTCATAGGCAGAAATATGAAATTTCATTTTTTCACCATATTTCGTATATTGGTCTGTCGAGCTTACAAATAGCAATACTTTGGGCTGATACTATCATGGATGATGGTTAAATTTAAAGGGGAAAATAAAAAAATACTACAGGTGAAAAAGGATACACAAACTGACTGTTTGTATTTCAACAAATGAAGGGCAATTCTAAAATGCAAAGTAAAAATGGAATTAAGGCAGTTTTAAAAGAGAATAAAAGTGCCAGATGTGGTGGTGCATGCTTATAATTCCAGCACTAGGGAGGCTGAGGCAGGAGGATCACTGAGAGTTCGAGGCCAGCCTGGGCTACATAGTGAGTTCAAGGCCAGCCTGAATTACAGAGTGAGACTGTCTCAAAATAACCTAAGACAGAAAATAAATAAATAAAAGAGAATAAAAATTATCCACACAAAATAATGCTGTGATGATATAATTCATTCCTAAAAATCTGTATGTACGTTCTAGATATAAAAGCCAAAAATCAAAACAAACAATTGCAGTAATGATGCAGCATCTGGTGCTTTTACTTCAGTGAATCAAAGTAATAATCACAATCCAAATGAATGGAAACTTAATATGAATATATGCACCTATCAGACACATTTATGCTTACTACCAGAGATGTCTTAGCAATTCCACATTCCTCACAATGTCAGTATAATTGTTGTAAAAAAATCAACTGTGGTTCTGAGTACCCATTCACAGTTGACCTCAACAATGTATCTGATGTAGGAGACTGATTATCTGTGACAGGCAAAAGCATGTGGTGGTCCTCAGTCCCAAGTGGAAGAGCTAGGGGTAGAGTCATATCAGAAGGCTTCACATCTATAGTTTCTGACAAAGGACTTTTTTGTGTGGAATCTTGTTCACTCAAAGTATGCTCCTCTGCATTAGACTCTAGAGATTTATCTGCACCTGAAAAGGGAAAAACATCTTTAAAAACAAAAGTAAACAGGATGCTTGAGGTATATTAATCTACTTATCTTTCCCAGAAATCACATTCCAACCTCCATGCTTTTGGGATCACTGTTTCTCCTTTACTCATATGCCTGCTTTATTATCTAAAAGCTCAATCTGGGTCTCAACACTGAGTTCAAGCACTAACTCCATTATAAAAGGGACTTACCCACTCCACACTGAGGTGAGCTTTTTTAACCTACCTTATTGCAGTTTTGTTAAGTTTCAATATGCTACTGCCTTGTAGCATCTGTGTCTCTGACTGCTGTTTAATGTTCTACTCAGGTATGAATTCTCAATGAAACGGCAAACTCCTTGTTAAGTTTTATTTGTCTAACTCCCTCAAAGTACTGAAGAGAAATACAGGAAACTCTTACCTGTTCACTGAACATTTTAATGAGTTCATATTACTCTGTAGGTTCAGATGTATGGCATTTTTTTTTTTTTTTTTTTTTTTTTTTTGGTTGGTTTTTCTCTGGTACCGGGAACCGAACTCACGACCTTGCGCTTGCCAGGCAGGCGCTTTTGCCGCTGAGCTAAATCCCCAGCCCCATGGCATTTTCATGTATCCTCAGAGTGAAAGATTCTGCTGTACTTAAGGGATCAATTATTGCTGACTAAATGGAAGTACTTTTGCCTTGCACTTTCCTACTGGTTTTAACATGCTCCATGTTTTAACTTCCAAGCACTGGCAGGACTTCAGTTTCACTGTCTTCTTAGAAAAAATGCGTATTTAGTCTCATAAAATTATAATTTTCTGTATTTTTCCCAGACTACAATTCAACCAGTCAAGAATGCAACCTGTGCGTTCCTATCCCACTGACTTGTCACAATGTTCTCTGCCCTCCCTTCACCATCTTCATCCTTGAACTCTTCTAAGTTCCCTAAGACTTTTCTGGTATCTCAGAAAAAACTCAGTACCTTCTTCAGCACTTTTGCATTTACTACATTTTGTATTTATTTACGTTCTGGTCTCCATAGCAATTATAAGCTCTTTCTGATACTATGTTTTGTTCACTTTATATTCCCTGCAGTTATATGCACCTCATAGGTACTTCATAAATAGTTGCTGAAATAATAACACCTGCAGTGAAAGATTTTCTAACTTCATCTTTATGATACTTGTTTTAAGAGATTTGTTTATCATCTTTACATACTAAAGAAGTCTAGTAATGTTGTTTCTCATCGTGACAGAATAAAATGGTAAGCAAAATGAGTCTTCAACAATTCATTTTAAGCAACATGCTTAACATTTTGTAGTCTGGCTTTCCACTTTTACATATTATAACATTTGGGGCTTTCCCTGTTTCCTCATATTTTTCTAGAGTGGTCTTCATGATAACCCTTCTTTGTTGTTGTTTGTTTTCTATTTTTTTTGAGACACGGTCTTGCTATGTCATTCGGGCTGCCCTTGAAATTACTATGTAGCCCAGGCTGGCCTCGAACTTGCAGCAATCCTCTTGCCTCTGCCTCCCAAGTTCTGGGATTACAGTCATGTGCTACCACACCTGGGGTTACCTTTTTTTTTATAGTAACCACAGTCAATCCTGGGTTACCCAGATTGTATGGGGAAGTGATACTTATGTATGGGGAACAGTGATACTTAGCTTGCTTATAAGTTCCTTTATTGTTGAAACTGATGACAAGTCAGGGTTTGTTTTTTTTAATCAGAAGCTTAATATAAAAAGAAATGCAGAGGAGCACTTTTATGAAAATTATAAAGCTACTTTTGTGTGTGTATCTCTACTTTTAAAAAAACAGGTAAATAATTTAAATAGACATTTACCAGGGTGGACTTTTGTTTTGTGCTTCTTTAAATTTTTAATATCTGTGTAAGAATTTCCACATAATTCGCAGATAAATGGTCTTTCTCCTGAAAAACAAGTTAAAAAGTTAAAAGGTCCACATTTTCAAAACTGCTAAGAAAAATATAAATATTCATAAATATAAGGGAAAAATTATTATATGGTTTAAATTTGGTTTCAAACTACTACTTTAATTACTCGGTTTTAATACAATGAAATGAGAAATTCTATACATATAGGCACTGCTTTATAAAAAATACACTTGTATTTCAGGGAAAGTTGAGCATTTTCATTATTTTAAATTTTTTACAAACTAAAAATTATCCTACTATTTTTATTCTATCAGATATTTACTGAGTGTCAGTTATATGCCAAACACTGGCTAAGAGACAGACAGAGCTAGAGGAAAAAAATATAATTACCGTTTCTGCTCTGAGGTACCTCCAAATTAGAAGATCCTTAAGAAATAATGACCATATCATATAACTCCTCTGAAATAAAAACTACTCAGTGCTTTACGCCATCAAGCAAGGGGCAAGAGAATAGGTGCAGTGATGGCAAACTTGTTAGCACTTTCAATAACAAACAGCCAGCTGCGGCACACATGCCATAGGTTGGCCACACTGAGAAGTTGCCAGTACACTTACTAAATCTCTGCTAGGTATTCACAATTATCTAGGCAGAAATTAGGAGGAAGAACTTTTAAAAAGAAAAAGAACAATATACTTTGAAAATGACATTTTTATTTTCATTCTTTATATACATATTTTCTTCACACAACTTCACATTACTTTTTAAGAAACATGTCAATATTAAAATTCATCTGTAATTGCATACAAAAAGATTTTTTAATAAAATCTGATGTCATTTTGGTATTTCCTATTCCTTTCCCCCCCCTCCTTTTCTTTTCTTGGTATATCTGTAAAATTTAGTCCAAATCACTTAAAAACTATATTATCTGACATATTTCTTGGAAAATCTCTATAATTATTGACTGTTTCATTCACATTCCAAACAACTAAAAAAAAAGTAAGTAAAAAGTTGATATTTATACATGAAACTATTGCTATAGGTAAATTATGACTAGGTACCATATAGTCCACAATGGTTTAAAAGCCAAGGTTCACATTAAAAGAAATTAAGAGAGAACAAAAAATAATACGTTCTCCCTAAACACAGACCTGTATGGGATCGAAAGTGTTTGTTGAGCTCTCCTGAGGAAATAAAACTTTTCCCACAAATACCACATATGTATGGTTTTTCACCTAGATGGAAAATAAAAGATAGCGAAGTGGTGTACTATACCAATATATATAATGCTTATCAATTACAAATAATCTTAAGTAAGCTGTTCTCAAATATTAAATTAAAACCTCTCTGTTGGGCTTTAGAGGTATTTTCAGCAATGTAACTTATAAGAGTTATATATAATTATTTTGAACTATTCAGATAATCTGATAATTTTATATACTAAAACTTTATTCCTGTTACTGTCCCTTCAAGAAGAAATGAGTTGGGCAGGGATTTTGATTTTTATGTGATTAAGAACATGTAAATCCATCAATCCCTATTTCAAATCTTGCTATGTATATATTAAAAGAGAGTAATGGTATTTAAGGAAGATTCTATTTAGAAACATACCCTACCAAAAAATGTAACTCTAACCAGTACAGTTTGCTTCAAAACAGATAATTTGCATTTCAATTATCTGCTTCAGTTGCAAATCTCAGAATACCTCTGAAGGCAAGATCCTAAGAAGGTATGAAAACCCAAACTCATTCCCTACTTCTTCACTATACAATTTTATCCAAAGGAAATAAAATCTCAAGAGGCAAAGGAGGTTTTCCAAAGTCATAAAAAAAGCCTCGTTATATTATCAAAATCATCTCACTGATTTTAATGTAAGTTATATAATAAAAAAATTTCACCTACCTTTTATTATTCTAGAAAATAAACCAGCTTTTATATCTCATATTTATGTGACAATCATAAACACAGCTTCAAGAACTACAATCACATACATCTAACTACAAAATCCACAATCTACCTTCTATAAAGGCCCAATTCCTCTTTTTGTTCTATTTTTAAGTCATATTTTAAGCAGTCTCTCCATGTTAAACTCTTACCTGTATGCTTTCGAGAATGAGTGATAAGAGAACTAGAAACAGCAAATGCCTTTCCACAGGTATCACATACATAAGGCTTTTCTCCCGTATGCCTACGGACATGGTAGGTCAGTGTGCTGGCTTGGGCAAATCTCTGTCCACATCTATCACAAACATATGGCTTCTCTCCACTATGCTTCCTGTTAGCAAATACAAAGTTATATTCTGGTAAGTAAAATAATTGGAAGGTCAATCCATACAGCAAATGTTTTTCATGCACAATTTTATTTCATTTCATATTAATAGGTCAAGGGTTGGGGATTTAGCTCAGTGGCACAGTGCCTGCCTGGCAAGCACGAGGTCGTGAGTTCGATTCCTGGTACTGGAAAACAAAACAAAACAAAACAAAACAAATCTCCATATTAATAGGTTAAGACTATATATTTAGCCAGACATGGTAGCGCATGCCTGTAATCCCAATAGTTAGGAGGCTTGGGCAGGAGGCTTGCTGTGAGTTTAAGGCCAGCCTGGACTACAAAGTGAGTTCAAGGCCAGCTGGAACTGCACAGTGAAACCCTGTCTCAAAAAAAGACAGAAAGACCTAAAACAACAACAACAACAAAAAAACTACATATTTAAAATCAACAGCTGTTTCTGAGAAAAATGTTTTAGTTGTCACCAAAACATTAGTTCTGATCAGTTCATCTTTATACAGTTGACAGTGAGTTCCTAATTCTGCAATTATTTTTCCAGTCCATTCAGTCTCACTTGTTAAAACTCCTTCCTTAAACCACCAGTACCTCTTCCCCATCCTCCCTCCCAGCTGACATCTTATTTTGCTAAGAAAAATTTAATCAGAAAAAAAATTGTACCTAGTGCATCTGCACCAATATTGTTTTCCTTTTGGTTAACTATAACATGAATAGTTCATCTCAATCCAAACTCTATATTTGCAAAGTATGTGAGATCCTACTCAATGATACCACTCCTACAATTTCCCCCATCCTATGTCACTTGTTCCTCTCCCTCCAATGGATCACAGCATAAAATAAACAAATACACTGATTTATATGTTCCATCTTAACAAAAAGATCTGTGACCTCATTTGCTCCTTCATTTATCTCCCCTTTCACAAATTTCAGTCTCTAAAACTTGTTTCTTCTTTACTGACCTCTACTAGCATCTTCTACCATGCTTTCTTCAAGAGCAATTGTTGACCTCCTCTCAAGTCAATTCTTAGTCTTCATCTCCCTATCTGAATTTTACAGTTGACCAGGCCCTTACTGGAATACTTTTCTTCACTTGGATCCTAGCGCAGCCCACTTTCCACTTATATTGGTTGCTCCTTCCTAGTAACTTCTGTTGGTTTTTGCCTAATTTCCAGATCTCTTAAGAGTGCCTTGGGACTTGATCTTTTTTCCATCCACACTGACTCACTTGATGAACTCCTCCAGTGTTACAGCTTTAAATGTTATTCATACACTGAGGACTGACAAATTGTTATGGTTGGTACACTGTGTCAACTTGGGGATTCTAGAGGAAAGGACATGCCCTTCGTGCTCTAGGATGTTGTTCATTGTGTCAATGTGAGTGCTACATGTCCCCTGGGTGGGGGTAGCCTGCTTACAATATAAGGGAGAGAAAGAGGCTGCTTGCTGCCACTCCTCCCTTTTGCTCTTGTTGCTTTGCTGTTTTCTGCTGCCATGAACTGTTGCCCTCTGCCATGTGCCACTCTGCCTTAGTCAAATGAATATGAACTAAAACCTCTACAAACTGTAAGCTAAATAAAGCTTTCCTTCCTTCATTTGGGGCTTTGGGTATTTTGTCTCAGGAGCCAGAGAAAAGTAACTAAGACACAAATGTATTACTTTCAATTCAAACAAGTCCTAACTCAAAACTTAGATAATCACTTGTCTATGGATATCTCCATTCAGATGTGTAGTCACTTCACATTTAACATGTTTGGAACCATATTCATGAACCCCTAGACTCCAACTTAAAACTACTCTACCCATAACCTTTCTCCATCTTAGTTAATAGCAACTCCATCTTTTCAGATCCTTGGCCTAAAAACTTGAAATAATTTTTGATTTTTCTTTGCAAATTCTGTTCTACTGCTAAAATGTACCCAGAATCTGATTACTATTTATCTCTTTCACTGTTGTCACCCTGGCCTGAACCAGCATTATTATCACTTGATTTTTATCTATAGTTTCTTAAGTCAATCCCACAGTCTTTTCCTAAGACAGTGGTACCTAAATACCTGTTAACTGGTTCTAGGAGGTGCAAAAAGTACCAAAAATGACAAGTGCAAAATCAACTGTTCTGGTTGCAAAGGGTGGCCAGTCATGAAGCAACTGACACCAACAAGTTCTAGCTTGCCCACTGAGTACCAAAACAAAATTTTCACGTCAAAATGCATCGAGTACCAAGGTATGACTGTATAGCAAGCACCCAAGTAATCTTAAAATGTAAGCAAGATCATATCACATTTCTCAACGTCAAGAGGACAATCTTTATATGGGATACAAAAACTTTTACCACCAAATACCCTATCACCATCCTGATCTTAATTTCTAATTTTTTCCCTTTTTATTTCCCTCTAACCACCATGGTAGCTTCTTTGTGGCTCCTTAAATGTGCTAAGAATATTGTATAGTGCATTGATGGCAAACCGTTTAGAGACCAAGTGCCAGACTGCAACCCAGAACCCACTTATTTATCGCAAAGTGCCAATACTGCAATGAAACCTGAATACTGAGGTTTTAGTTTGGAAAAAAACCCAAAAACTTCATATACTAACATCTTTTGTTTTAAGGAAAAACACAGTAACACATGTGCCATAGGTTCACAGCCACTGGTACAGTGGAACCACAACTAGAACTCTACTGTCATAAATTCTAATACAATGTAGTATATGTATAAGATTATGGTGATTAACTTAAAGCCAAACAACTTGTTTATTTACCTTGCATGAATCTTGAGATTGCTAGAAGTTGCAAACTGTAAGTTGCACACATCACATTTATAGGGTTTTTCCTCACCATGATGCATGCGACTATGGAAAACAAGCTGGCATTTTTGAGCAAATCCTTTATCACATAATTCACACTTGTATGGTCTCTCACCTAAAGGAAAAAGTGAATAAAATTTTTATTAAGAAGGAAAAAAAATCTAGTTCAGTTGCTAAAGTCACATAAGCTTTCAAAAGTGTTCATCAACAGTACTAGTTTTGGTTGGGCAAGTTGGCTTACATCTGTAATCCCAGCACTCAGAAGGCAGAGGTAGGACTGCTGGGAGTTCAAGGTCAGCCTGAACTGCATAGCAAGACCCTGTCTCAAAAAAACAAAAAACAGGGCTGGGGATTTAACTCAGTGGCACAGCACCTGCCTGGCAAGCTTGAAATCCTGAGCTCAATTCCCAGTACTCCCTTTGCAAAAAAAAAAAACTAACACAAAGAAACAAAAAGCAACAATAAGAACAGTACTAGTTTTGGTATTCAAAAAATGTTAATTGTTAGCAATAAAAGCATATAAAAACTCTTAACAAAAAAAAAACCTCTTTCCAGACTACTGAAAACACCAGTACAATGAAATGTTTTTTTAACTTATAATAGTGAGAAAAATACAAAACTGCATCTAAAAAAGTACAAATCTAAGTGTACCAATGAGTGCTCATATTTGAAGAAAGAATGTATGTGTAATTCTAATACACATATTCACAAGTCTAGGAAGAAAAAAAAAAACAAAGTAAAAAGCACATAATAAGTGTTGGTAATATGTGAAAACTGGCCAGAGTTGTAATTACATTTTCTCTTATCTGATGTAATCTTTGTCTGTCAAGAACTTAGCAAGGTGGAACCAAGTTTATGCTTATTTTGAAAGAAAATGATATGAGCACATGTAACTAAATACTAATGACAGATATATTTTCAACAGCATAACACCACAATACTTTTATGAATAAAAACATGGTCATGAGTAATCCACACCATATATGAATATACTCTCTATAAAAATGTTATTTTAGGCTTGGGGCATAGCTCAGTGGTTGAGTGCTTAGCATATAGAAGGCCCTGGGTTTAATTCCCAGCACCAAAAAAAAAAAGGACAATATAAAAAAATTATACCTCCCTACAAACCAGTCTTACCTGTATGAGTTCTTACATGTGTTTTCAGCTGGTTACACTGAGTAAATGCCTTCCCACACAAGTGGCACACATAAGGTTTAACTCCTTTATGTATTCTCATGTGCCTTCTCAAACTGCTGGCTTCTGAAAATACCTTCCCACAGGTGTTACACATTGGCTTAGTCTTGGAATACCTCTGATCCAGCTCTTTCCCAGAGTTCTCCAGCTCATAAGGACTTTTGACACTGGCTATATTAGACATAGAGTGTTCTTTCAGAGCACAATTTGGCTGTGATTTTCCACGTTTCCGTTTCACTGTAACAGTTTGTACAATATCTTGTGCTGGAAAAGTATTCTCCGCAACTGATGTCAACTCAAGTTCTGAATTATCATTTCTTTGTGTAACTTGTTCAACTACAGGTGTGGACAACTTATTTGCATCTAAGAATAATTCAACAGATGCATTCTCTAAAATGTCCCTGGGATATTGCACTGTTTTATTCTGCCCTGTTTTCTGGGCATTGAAAGCTTTTTTCTTCTTTTTACTTTGAGATGACTTCTTTGCTAAAGCCCCTTGTTTAGGATTTGCCTGAACTAAATCTGTAGATTCTTCTGATTTCTCTTGGCTGTTATAATCTCGTAGAGTAAGAAGACAAGTCTGTTGATTCAATTCAATGTTTCCAGTAATACTAGATATCTCTGTAGAAGAGGGATTAGCAATAAAAGCAAAATCTTCCATCTTTATTTTACATTTAGTTACTACTTCTTCCACTTTGAGAAAGTCAGCAGCTTGATGAATTTCTTTAACATTCCAACTGCAAGGAAAAAGGCTAAATGACAACATTCTGATCAAAGAAAAACTTCCTGAAACAGAGCTGTACATGTATTATAGTATCGTTTAAAGCCCTAATAAAGCAGAATGCTGAAAAACGTATATCTTAAAGAATAACATTTTAAAAAATTTAACTCACTTAGTATGTTTAGGCAAAGATCTCCCACTTTACAGAATTTGCAAAGATGAGAAACTGACTATTCATAGGTACCAATGGACCACTACAGAAAAATAAAATGTTAAAATTTCTGGCTTAAAAAAAGTCCTGGAACACAAAAATAACAGCTGGCTTCCTCAAATTCATTCTGAGGCCTCTTCAGGTACCAACCAACTTTTCTGGAATACCAACAGGAAAAGTCTAATCAAAATTGTTGCCACTGGGTGTAGTGGCACATGTCTGTAATCCCAACACTCAGGAGGCTGAAGCAGGAGGATTGTTGCATGTTCAAGACCAGTCTGGGCTACAAAGTGAGCCCAAGGCCAGCCTAAACTGCATAACTAGACCCTGTTGCAAAAAGACCAAAAAAAAAGAAAAAAATTGTTTCCTACTAGTTTTCCCTGCCCTTCTGTGAGGGACTTTCAACTGGCTTATCAAATGTTAACTGCATGTGAATCACCCAGAGACCTTGCTAAATGAAGATTCAAATTTGGTTAAGTCTGTGATGGGGCCTGAGATTCTAGTTTTTGTAACTGAAAATAAAACTTGTACGTTACCTGTCAAGATTTAAAGTTCCTGTGTATATAAATTCCAACAATTTCTGAAATCCATCAGCCTTCACCTGACTCTGATCAAGAAAAACATTGTTTTCAGAAGTGCTTCTGTAGATCGCACCAAAATACTCACTAAACGAGGCGAGCACATTCCTATGGGCTTTAAACTGGAATTCCCCAATCACTACGGTGCAGTCACAAAGAAAACCTGCTTCTCGTTGTTTGTTCAGTCTCTCTAAAAGGTGCTCACAGTGGTGTGAATACTGCATTTTGATATCAGAATGCAATTTTACCCTTGATCTAAAAGACAAAAACAAAGTAAATCAGCACTTGTAAGTTTTCACTAAACGTTTACCTAAATAATTGTGGGACAGAGAACTTCATGAAGAATAACGTTAACTCTTGGTTTATCCCCTCTGAAAAGCCTTAAAACACACGGTTCAAAATGCTGAAAGGGTAAGTGTTTCACCTTGGGCACTACCACAATCCCCTGGACACATCAATAAATGACTGTGAATGGAAACACGCCGTGAGTTGCAAAAAGGGTCGCCAAATTCGAACTTTTACATCAGCTGAACCCTCAAGACTCAGTAGGTATATACACGTTAAAAAACAAAAAAAAGACACTATTAAGAAATGCCTCCTTGGGACAGCTGGAAGGGAGAACACAGTGTGCGTTTTTAAAAAGCTGTTCGAAAATCACACGAATCTGTTAGCTCCGCTGTGCAGTTTCTCTAAAGCGCAGGGAGGGTGCCCAGGAGGCGGGGACTGCGCCAAGGCCAGGCTGTCCAAGGTGCTGTCCCCCGCCCCAAGAGCCCATACTTCTCTGTCCCCCCCTCTCTACGCGAGGCCGTATCTCAAAGTGACAACCAATACCAGACTTCCTGCGCTTCTGCCGCCCAGCCCTCCGCCCAGCTCCCACTCCCGCGAACTGCCTGCCACAGCACAGAGCCACAGGCTCTGTGGTCAGAGCCACTGCCGGGGCTGCTTCGACCAAGCCTACCACCTTCACCGCGACCCGCTCTCGAATTCTAAGCACCCTGCCTTCGGATGGCCCATGGTCTGGAGGGTGCAAGGATGGAGGGCAACGGGTGGAGTGGACACTCACCGATCGCCACTCGGAGGTAACAGTTTCTTCACCCTCTCTCCGCCATCTTGGGAGGACGTCACTGCGTCACGCCCCGCCTCTCCCTTCTTCCTCCACCGTGGCGTCACGTCCGGCTCCGCAGTCACTTAGCAACGCAGGTGGCTCCGAGGTTGTAAAGGTCCGGCACCCTTCAGGGCCGATTCGCTAGCCCTCAGAGTTCCCACTGCCCAGCATACCAGGGGCCCAGGAACTTCAGGAGTCAGGGGTACTAGAGCTAAAGGCTTGTTCTCAGCGCTGCGTCCGTCTTCCTCCTGCTGAGCATTCCGGTCGGCGGACAGTCAGCCAGAAGCGGCCGGGGTACCGAAGCGAGACCGAGCGGCGCGGCCCGTCGGCCTCCGCAGGAGCCACGCTGCGCACTGCATGCTGGGGCTTGTAGTTCCTTGTCTTCTCCCGTCATCCTCCCATTCCTCGGGGCCTCGCCAGAGCGTACCGCTGCTTTGCGTGCTCTGGGTCTCGGTCATGGGGGACGTTTGAGCTAAGGCCGATCACCCCTTTTCCCTTTACATACCCGAAGGCTCTTGGGACCCCCTGGGTTTTGTTTTTCGCCAGCCAACTGTAATTCGGCTTGCAGGATGCCTTTACCTGGTGATAGAAGTCGGAGACGCACGAAAGCGGAGCAAAGCAGTAGGGCGCACTGGGCATGCGCAACAGTGGAGGAAGGTGGGCTTTATACCGGAAAAGGTTTTCCTGGGCCCCCGACTAGTGCAATTTTAAGAAAATTATTTACATCCAGTTTGGGTATTCTGTATTGGGGAAAGCTATACCAGTTCTGTCTGTAATACACAAAAGTATGAAAAAAAGTAAATCTTGCTAATGTGTTAGGGATATTTTTCCTAGTACCCTTGAACATCATAAATCTCAGAAAACGACAATTTAAAGCTTTTTTCCGTGTTAAAAGTATGTGTCAGAACCTTAGGGAATTTACCCGTGACTTTAAAGGACAGTTTCAGCTTGGATTCTTTCTCTTGTCAGATTTTTTTTCCTACCAGATTCTCTATAAATTGCCCTCTACACATTCTGTGCAAGAATAGTTTTTATGACTAGCATCACCGCCATGATGTTTATTAAAATTTTTTGAGTCTGGTTCTTTCTTGATTTCAGCTTTGAACTTTCTGAGTATCATTTTGTTCCTGATTCCACCTCATTTTGTGAGACACTTTTTCAGTAATTGTTTGATTCAGAAATGTACGAGCCTAACATGACACTAACATGAAATTGTTTAATTCAGAAATGTACGAGCCTAACATAACAGTCTCCATGCGTTTAGGGGAAAATACAATCTACAAGGTAAAACTAAATGACAAAGCATAAAGAGTGCAGTGGAGGCGGCAAAGCTAGCTTCATCTTTATGCTATGATGTCCCCTTCTAAACTGCACGTTCTTTGAGCACTATAATCGTTGACAGTCCGAATTTTTCTCAATTTGGGGCTCTTCTTCCACATGTCAAACCTGCAAGTAAAACATTTGGAGAAGCATTAAGTATTATTTGAACTGAAAGAGTTCTTTGGGTTAGGGGTCTTATATTTTGAGAAAAGGATCCCGTCTGACTTTAGCCATTACCGAGAAGTACCGCTAGGAAAACATGTTTCCGCCCGGTTTCGAACCGGGGACCTTTCGCGTGTTAGGCGAACGTGATAACCACTACACTACGGAAACCCTTGATGTAAGAAAGTTTATAAAGTCCTAGATATGTATACATATGCTAACGTAGTTCACAAAATTACTGTAACTTTTAAGAGGAAAACGGACAGAAAACCGTATGTCAATTGACCGCGCTGAAACTACTTCACAAATTTTCAGTTGGGGGCACTTTATTATAAAGCCCCCTGGGAGCTGCCACGGAAGCCAGGCACCCGCAGTACAGCGAGGGCGGGGCCTCGAGGAGCGGGGCGGGCGGAGTTTAGAGGGCTCTGGGCGCACTGCCGAGCCTCCCGCCCCTAAGCTTTGCCTTGGTGTCAGTTATTTTTGAGTTCCATTTTCGGTGCTTCTGAAGACCAGAAGTTCTCATCCGTGTACTTGTTTCAAACATCCCCTACAGGTTGTCCCAAAGCGAGATACACAGGTACTGTTTTCTGAGCTTGAACTTCAAAAGACCTCGGCACCTCCATTTTCCTGCAGACACACACCCTTACTACAGAAAATGTAGCCTAGGGCTTGCGAAGGCGCCCGAGGGCCGGGGCGATAATTCAGAGATTATTGGGAATTTTTAAAGTGAGGTTCTGTCGCTTCTGTTTTTGCAAATGTTTCTTGAGGGTTTCATCAGTACAGTTTGCAGCATACAGTAGAACGGTTACAATCATTGTGGGGAGTAGTACGGAACCCATGCGGATTCTCTTCTTACCCCTTCCCCTCCTCTCCCGCCATCCTTGCCATTTTGTTTTAATTGCGTACATTTTTAGAAACCACAGGCGGGGCACAAAGTACTCTTCATCATCATCCGTCTCAGCTTTGTTCCTCTTTCCTCTCCGTCCCGCCCCGGGCGCCTCCAGAGCAGCGCTGCAGCAGCCCGGCGTCCCGGGTCCAGCCCTCGACCCGCCGGCGCCCCTCCTCGGACCGTGCAGCCGGACGTGCCCCCGGCCTGCGTCTACTGCTCGGCTCCGGGCTCTGTGACGCGCGCTGCGGGCCGCGCCGGCGGAGCCCGAGCCAGGAGGGCGGCGCGGGCAGCCTGGGGGCAGCATGAGCGCCTACCAGCGCCCGGTGGTGCTCGACTGCGGCTCGGGGACGGTCAAGGCGGGCCTTGCCGGCGGCCGCGCGCCGCACTTCGTCTACCCGAACATCGTTGGCCGCGCCAAGGGCCACAGCGGGGCGGCCGAGGGCGCGCAGGAGCTGTGGGTGGGCGACCAGGCGCAGGAGAGGAGAAGCGCGCTGTCCGTCAGGTAGTGACCCCTGCTCCCCATCCTCCTCGGAGCTGGCGAGCTGGGGCAGGGGAGCCCAGAGAAGGGGCGCGACGCCGAACCCCGAGCCCCAGGCCGGAGCGTCTAGCCGGCCTGCCAGACGGATTAACAGCAGCTGGGCCACACAGTCTAGCGTGCGGACGTCCGAGGACAACGGAATTTGTTCTCTGTATCTGTGTAGATGTGTTCGCACGTATAAAGTTGGTGGTAATACGCGAGTACATTTTAAAATGTTATACAGTTAATCATACTTTTGTCCCTTGGGGTTTTCTCTTCAATGAACTGATGTTAAAACTATACTACAAGGTGGGAATTTTCCAGTTTTATAAATTCACCATTTTCCAAGGGAGAAAAAAAAAAGGAAAGCAATAAATAATTGTGGAGAATGGTAAGTATGCTCATGTTTGCTGGCAATTACCTTCTCTGAGAGGCTTTGGCAGTTACTGCCTATAAAGTAGTACTGATAATATGAAAATAAAGACTTTGGAGACAGTAGAGGTTACAAAAATTAAAGGTCATTTATCTTCTTGCTCTCCCTACAGCTATCCTGTGGAGCGTGGTCTCATCACTTGCTGGGGAGACATGGAGACCATGTGGAAGCACATCTATGACTATAACCTGAAAGTGAACCCCTGTGAGAGCCCAGTCTTGATTACTGAGCCAGCCCTGAACCCACTGGTCAACCGGCAACAGACTACTGAGGTGTTTTTTGAACATCTGGGTGTCCCTGCTTTCTATATGTCCACCCAGGCTTTGCTGGCTCTCTTTGCTGCTGGTTTCACTACTGGCTTGGTGCTGAATTCGGGTGCTGGGCTTACCCAGTGTGTGCCAGTCTTTGAAGGTTACTGTCTGTCTCATGGTGTACAGCAGCTACATCTGGCAGGCCTTGAGCTCACCAACTACCTCAAAGTGCTGCTGAAGGCCCATGGTATCCTGCTGGTTAGTGCTGCAGACAGAAAGACTGTGGAAGACATTAAGGAGACCTCTTGTTATGTGGCAATGAACTACGAAGAGGAAATGGTCAAGAAACCCGACTGCCTAGAGAAAGTTTATAAACTACCTGATGGGCAGACCATCTTGCTCCACGACCAGCTCTTCCGTTGTCCAGAGGCCCTTTTCACTCCATGTCTCATGAATGTTGCCGCCCCTGGCATTGATAAGATGTGCTTCAGCGCCGTAATGAAATGTGATACAGATCTGAGGAATTCCTTCTTCTCCAATATTATCCTTGCTGGGGGATCGACTTCCTTTCCTGGCTTGGACAAGCGGCTAGTTAAAGATATGGCAAAGATGGTGCCTGCTAACACTGCTGTGCAGGTTATAGCTCCCCCAGAAAGGAAGTTGTCAGCGTGGATGGGAGGTTCTATTCTCGCCTCCCTGTCTGCCTTCCAGGACATGTGGATCACTGCTGCAGAATTTAAAGAAGTTGGACCCAACATAGTCCACCAAAGATGCTTCTGAAATACAGATAAACTGGTTAGATGAAAATACTGTGAGCATATGTGACAAAGTTTTGGATGTTATGTTCTTGGCAGAACAAACAGTATTTCAATTACTGGGATATTTATGTCTCTGTTGTATTTCTATAATGGAAATAATCATGGCGATAACAGTAATGTTCAAACAATGAAAGTTTACTGAGTAGAATCAAGTTAAATGCTGTAGGAAACACTATTCTTTACCTTGGAAAGCTTACATTTCTCTCAGAGAGAGAGCGATGTGTGGTACCATATGCTATGTGCCCAATGAGTGATGATTTGAGTTTGTTGACGTTTAGGGAAAGAGGCTGCTGTGGTGTGGAAAGTCTCTGTAACAGGTATGATGGAAATGGTGGCATTAAGATGGATAGGGAGATGGCCTCTGTCCACACAGGCATAATGGGCTGAGCAGAGGGCCCAAAGGAGGGGTGGATAAAGCATGCTGAAGGCACATTTAATTGATGAAGTGTTCCTGTGGAGCAGAGTAAGAGCTCCGACCAGGAAGGTGAATAAGGTCAAGAATGGAAAGGCTTTAAGTGTTACATTCCTTCAGGTAAAGGAGAGCAACTAAAGATTTAAAAGCAGTAGACAAATGAAATTATGTTAAGATGAATGTGGTGGTAGTTTGGAGAATAAATTTGACTGGGAAGTTCCCAGAGATTCAGTAATCAGAAAGTTATAGTTCAGATGTAAAGTAGCTATCTCTCATGTGAAAGTTATAAGCAATAGGAATTAAGAAATTACAAAAAGTGACAAGACCTGGTGCCTAATTAGACAGACATGAAGGGGAAGGATGGGGGATAACACAGGCATTAGCAATCCTATTTTATAGATGAGGAAATTTGTCTTTAAAATGTTTAAACTTGCTTAACTCATGAAGTAGGTGGCAGAGTTTGAACATAAACACTTATTTTGCTCCTAATTCAGATGGAAAGGCAATCTATTAGGTTTAAATTCTAGCTGTCCTTCAAATATTGCCCCAAAGCTGTAGCTCTCAGAAAGACCTCTTTGCATTCTCATCTGGAATTGAAACTTGCTTATAAAGTTAGAGAATTTAGCTGGGTGTGGTCATGTCGGACCATATATCCAACTCTGTGCATAGTGAACTGATCTCTCAAACTAGGTGCCCGCAGATGTATAAGAAAAGTAAGAAAAAACTAGGGCCGTGGATATAGCTCAGCGGCACAAGTGCCTGCCTGGCAAGCTCAAGGTCCTGAGTTTGATTCCTAGTACCAAAAAAAAAAAAAGAAAAATAACAGCCATAAAAATCTGTCCTGACCTTGTACCACAGGGTGAATGGTTGAAAATTTAAATAGCTTTGGCCAGGCGTGGTGGTGGCCTGTAATTCCAGCACTCGGGAGGCTGAGGCAGGAGGATCAAAGTGAGTTTGAGACCAGCCTGGGCTACAAAGTGAGCTCAAGTCCAGCCTGAACTGCATAGTGAGACCCTGTCTCAAAAAGACA